GTAATCTATAGACTTAATTAGAAGGAAATAGAAGCGCTTAACGCTTACCTTGAAGAAAACCTATAGAAGGGATATATTAGACCCTCTACGTTACTAGTAGGATATCTAATCCTATTTATACCTAAGAAAAACGGCAAACTATAACTCTATGTTAATTATAGAAAACTTAATAACATTATAATTAAGAACTATTACCTACTACCGCTCATCTTAGAACTTAGAGATCTACTATATAGAGCCTAGTAGTTTATAGCACTCAACTTAAAAGGAGCCTATAACCTAATACGTATAAAATCAGGTAAAGAATAGAAAATAGCGTTCTAAATACGCTAAGGATACTATAAGTACCTAGTAATGCCCTTTAGACTTACTAATATACCTATAACATTCTAGATAATAATTAATTATATCCTATAAGAATACCTAGATATATTTATTATAGTTTATCTTAATAACATCCTAATCTTCTTAAAGACGCTAGAAGACTATAAGAAGTATGTATATTAAGTGCTATAGAAACTCTAAGAAGCTAAACTCCTAGTGGAACTAAAAAAGAGCAAATTCTATACCTAAGAAGTTAAATTCCTAGGCTTTATAATAGCCCCTAGAATCCTCAAAATATTAAAAGATAAAATCATAGCAGTATAAGACTAGCTAATACCCTAGAACGTTAAGGATATATAATCCTTTATTAGATATATAAACTACTACTAATAATTCCTAGAAGGATACTTAGATAAGAACAACCCTCTTATAAGGCTCTTAAAGAAAGATACCCTATAGCAATAGGAAGAAGAGTAAGAATAAGCCTTTAATAAGATTAAGCAATAAGTTATATTGGAACCTATATTTATTATACCTAACCCTAAGAAACTATTTAAAGTTGAGACTAACTCCTTAGACTACACTATAGGAGGATAGCTAGGCCAATGAGACGATAAAGGATAGCTACGCCTATACGCCTTCTTCTCATATAAGCTATATAGCCTAGAACTTAACTATTAAATCTATAATAAAGAACTTATAGTAATTATTAAAGCATTTAAGGAATAGAGACCTTAACTATTAGGAATAAAGTATAAAGTTAAGGTCTATAATAATTATAAGAATCTTACCTACTTTACTATATTAAAAGAACTTAATAAATAATAGATTAGATAGTCTAAATTCCTCTTAGAATTTAACTTTAAAATTATCTACTAGAAAGGTAAAGAAAACGGAAGAGCAGACGCTCTCAGTAGGAGACTGGACCATAAAGTCCAGGTACCTGAGGAAACCTAAGTTATCCTTAAGAAGGATAAGAAAGGAGACCTTATGCTAGCAGCTAGACTCTTGATGATGGCTAGAAGAGACAATACCAGCATAACTAGAAGGATGTCTCCTGAAGCCATTAGGGAAATACACTCTGCTCCTGTATATGGCTACCAAGGCGTAACTAAGACATAGAAACGCATTAGATAACACTATAATAAAACGGCTATATAATAACAAGTATCTTTAGCGATTAGGGACTATGAGGTTTGCGCGAAAAGCAAACCTAGTTAATATTAGCCTTATAGTAAGATATAGCTGCTCCTAATGCTATAAACCGTATAGGAATCTATCTCATTAGACTTTATTACTAAGTTACTTAAGTCCTAAGAACTAATAACTAAAGTCCACTATAATAGTGTCCTAGTTATTATTAATAGACTCATAAAGTATTTATACTTTATTCTATATATAGAGTCTAGCACTATAGAAGACCTCACCTATAAGTTTCTATAGATAATTATTAGCTAATATGGAACGCTAAAGGAAATTATATCTAATAGAGATAAGTTATTTACTTCTAAGTTTTAGAGATCCCTAATCTTATAGCTTAGATCTAATTATAAAATATCTACTACTTTTTATCCACAAACTAATAGCTAGATAGAACAAATCAATCAGATTATAGAGACCTATCTATACTACTATATTAACTACTAACAAGACAATTAGGTTTAACTACTACCTATAGCCTAGTTCGCCTATAATAGCGCAGTAGGAGAAAGTATAAAAGAATCACTATTCTATCTAAACTATGGATTTAACCTAATAGCCTATAGAGAACCATAATAAGGCCTAGCAGCTCTGAAAGCTATAGTAGATATTAATAAACTTAAGGAAATCCAGTAAGAGCTACCTAGAGAACTTAAATTTATATGTAAATAAATATATAAATACGCTAACACCTTAAGAGTTAAGGGACTAACTCTATAGGAGGGGGATAGTATATACCTTCTCTATAGAAATATTAAGATAAAATAACTAAGTAATAAGTTAGACTTTAAGAAACTTAGACCTTTTAAAATTATATAGAAGGTATCTAATATTAACTTTAAACTCATACTACTAGACACTATAAAGTGCTATCCAGTCTTTCACATTTTACTTCTTAAAAAAGCACCAATAGGTTTATATATAAAAGACTATATTATTATAGAACCCCTTAAACCAGAATATAAAGTCAAATAAATTATTAACCACTATAATAATAACAGAAATATAGAATATCTTATTAAGTAGAAAGGATATAGATATAAAGATAACTTATGGGAACCTATTAAGAACCTTCAGCATTCCTAGTAGATACTATAGGAGTATTACTAGGCAGTAGGAACCTAAGGTTGGAGAAACCCTTACCTAGACTAAAGTTTACTAATAATAGGTCGTTAGGGGCACCCCAAGAAGATAAGTCTAATACCACATGTAACTCCTTAGTATCTAACGTACGCTCCTTAGCCTCCTACTCCTCTATAAATTGTATACTATAATAAATTAAGTCTAAACTACACTCTTTTAAGAAACGTTTATATTTCTATAAATAAGATAAATAACCTATTATAATAGCTAGCTATATCTAGAGAAGCTCAAGAGCCTCTTTAGCCTCTTGCTCCTCCTACTTAATCTTCTTCTGCTCCTTAAAATAATAATTCACTATAGTTATTAGTATAGAAAAAATAGAAAACTAAAATAAATAACTTATAAGCGTTTGCTATATCTCCCCTATTATAGTTAGATAGACTATAGCTCACGCATTCGCTGTAGCGCTTAGAGTTTGTAAGGTCCATTTTGTACACCTAGTTAAACTAGAAATATAGAGAGTATAGTATCACGTTGTAACTATAGAGATCAACTAATTAACTAAGAGCTTAACGGTTTTACTTGATCTTAATATGATAAGCCTTACGTAAAGGCTTAGAAGGTTTTTAAATATAACCTAATATAGTATTAGCATTATAGAAATAAGGAAGCATAATTAATAACTCCCCAACCTAGGAGTAGCAACCTACTTATACTAGTCTTAGGGATAAGACCTTTAGAGAGAAGACCTAATATTATGACCTATTAGGCTTAGCTACTAATATAACCCTATTAGGCTCTTAGCAGCTAATGTGGATATATATAACCTAGTAACATAAGGACGGTTAGGGATCCTTAGAAGGGAAGAACTATAGTGTAAGTTATATAACGATAAGATAAGGATTATTTAGGATTAAAATGATCTAGATAGACTTAGGGGCTAAACGATTATTCTTAATTAGAATAATCTAGCTTAACCTAAGGTATAAAGAGTATATACTAGGAAAAGGACTTATATATAGGATGGACTTGAGCTCGGCTTAAGGACAAACTTCTATAGCTCTTTAGTAATCAACTTATGATTATTACTTATAATACTTTTAGCTATACCTAAGTGATAATTACTCTATAACTCTTATTGAGGCCTTAACTGATTACTAAGACCTTTAAAGACCTATAATTACTTAAATAGCCCTATAGAACGACTTAATACTATTTATAGTTCTCAATCCCTAACTTACTGCTAATATAAACCCACTATCAGTTAGCTGGCCGTAATACCCTTCTTCTTATTAAGCCTCCCTAATAGTATTAAGGATAATATTCCTATATAAAGTATAAGCTAATATAAGGAGGTAATTAGCTAAATAGTATTTACTCTAATAGATATTAATTAAAATAGATTAATATATATTTAATAGAGTTTTATAACTTAACTTAATAGTAATACTATAAGTAATATATATAGTTTTTTAAAGCTATATATTATAGAGAAAAAGCTAAATTAATATACCTTTAGAATAATTAAGCCTTTAATATATTATAATACTCTTATTTTTAAGGAAGTATTTAAAAAAGATCTTATTTTATTTAGCTATTACTTAAGGGTTATAAAAGCTATTTTTAAAGTTCTAATAGAGTATCTAAATAGCTATTAATATAGTAATAGATATTATTTTAAAGGAGTTAAAGAAGCTTAAATAAAAAGAGAGATAAAAAAGAAAGTTAATTAAGCTTTATTACTTAATAACTTTATTAAATAGAGTATAAAGACCTAAATAGATAAGGCTATTTATAACTACTTTTTAGGTAAACTATATATTTAAAGTTTAGATTTTAATAATTTACTTTTAAGTTAAACTAAGAGGGAACCTACTTATTTATAGTATTAAGAATAATACTAACTTTATTACTATATTAGGTTAGAATACTAGTTATATAGCATATAAATGCGCTTTGCTTATATACCTTAGTGCCTGGGAAGAGCTACCTTATGAGACGTGCTGTGGGGGCTTCACAGTGTTTGGGCGTTCCACTGCTGCAGGCAAGAACTGAGTTGAGGTGACGATCCTGCGTCCACTGGCCGCCAGCTGCGGCCAGCTGCAGTCTGGTGGATGTGCTGTTAGTATCCTGGGAAGGGACGACCTCCTTCACTTACACGACTCTTTCCTCGCAGTCCACTTGTCCTTCCTTCCCGTAACATGAACAACGTAAAAAGTTTTCGGACTATCGTTGTATGTGAACCAGAACCTCGTCCTTCACAGGTATTTCTTGCACAAATTCCTCGCCGCCATCTCTCACTAATACGTCCTCTTCCAGCACCAGAACCTCCAGAGGTTGCATTCGTTCCTCATGTGCTACAATTCATCTACCTAGGCCTCATCTCTCCTATCATGGCCATCACCAAACTACCTCAATACACCGTACGCCTTCTAAGGTCCACCGTCGATCTTCCCACACCCGTATCCCTGATCAAAGAGCTTGTCGAGAACTCCATTGACGCTGGCGCTTCCAACATCGAAGTCACCGTTTCTGCCAACGTGATAGACAGGATCCAAGTCCGCGACAATGGCCACGGCATAAACTCCGAAGACTTCGACGCCCTTGGACGGCCGTCGCACACTAGCAAGCTTCGTACTTTTGAAGAGCTCCAATGCAAAGGCGGTCAGACTCTCGGCTTCCGTGGCAACGCTCTCGCCAGCACGAACGCTGTGTCAAAACTCATGATCACCACGAGAACAGCTGGGGATTCAGTTGGAAATCTCCTTGAGCTGAATCCAAAGGGAGGAGGTATCATGACACAAAAGCGTGTGTCAAGCCCACCTGGGACGATAGTCGATGCCTCCAACCTCTTCTCAGCGCTTGTGGTGCGCAAGCAGCAGGTCCTCAAGGAAAGTGCGAAGATCCACGGTCACATCAAAGATTTACTACAATCATACGCCCTGACTAGGCCACACATCCGACTTACGTTCAAAGTCCTCAAAAACATGAAGCGCTCCTGGTCTTACGCGCCTTCTGGCGGAGCTGACGTCAGGGAGGCGGTTCTGCAGGTCTTTGGCAAAGAGCTTGTTTCTCAGTGCGTCTAGAAGACATACACGGGGAACACCGTTGAGGGCGGACCAACCTTGAAGAGACCAAACACACCCGCCTCTGTTCTGCGTCTGGCAGCATTTCTACCGAGCGCGCATGCAGATCCCGCTACGATAGGGGGGAAGGGATATTTCATCTCCGTCGACTCTCGGCCAATGAATACCGAGAGAGGGACGATGAAGAAACTCATCAAGATCTACAGAAAACACATAAAAGACTGCCTCCAAAAGCAAGGTCTCCTGACGCCATTTATCAGACTTGACATCGAATGCATTCTTGGGAGCTACGACCCCAATGTTGCAACAAACAAAGACGAGGTGCTGTTCGCCAACGAGTCAAGATTATTGACCTTGTTCGAGGACATGTGTCGAGAGTTGTATCAAGGTTCCAATTCTCAGTCGAAATCTGTTGGGATTGGTCGCCAGTCCGAAGCGCCGGATGCCAGCTACGATGAGTCGGAGCTTGTACAAGACGGCCATGAAGAAGAGACGAGGAAAACCTCTCGGGACCTGTCGTCAGAGGGGCCCCAAAACCCAGATGAGGAATATCTCGGAGACGACTCCCAAGTTGCCGGCCAGCAGCTTAACAGCCCCCCTTCCGACGAGATCCGTAACGTTGGTCAATTAGCTGTACATGCTCATGTTCCTGACATCCGAAAACATGTGGAGCAGGAATTCAGTGCTGTGGCCAACGTAGCGGAGTGCTCAGACGACACACTCTCTCTGCACAGCCAAGATATCCCCGATGTGGAAGCCGATCAGCCACATGCACAGCAATCCGGTTCAGCCGCTGCACCAGTTCATCCAGAGCTAACGCAATCACTTCTTCGATTGGAATGGGAAGTTGATATGGCGAGAAGCCAAACCGCAACTCCGGAAGTAAACACCCAGGAGGTCCTTCTGGTCCCGGTGCAGTCGAACATGACTGGATACCTGAGCCAGCAGCGGAGAGAACAAACTCGGAGGGAGAATCCAAATCCCTGGTCTCTGGCCAGAACGGCGGCGCAGAGACGAGGAGCAAACCGAGACGAAGGTACTCATAATTTGGTCGGTATCGAGCCAGTTGAGAACCACTCAGCCGGCCCAAAAGCTAGCAATCCGGCTCACCCTCCTAGCGCTGGTCTCGTACGCGATGGTTCGAGTGGCATGTACGGGATGATCCCCAAGAATCCCGACTTATTTCCCGATCAGCAGTTTCGCCGCGATAAGACATTTCCTGTGCAAAGGGATGATGCCTTTGAGGCCGACGACGTCGAGCTGCAACATATGCTCCCCCCACATGGCGCCGAGCAGATTATGAGACACCAAGCAGAGTCTGGAATTCCACGAAATGAAGAGCAATCTAAAAACCCGAGAGCTAGAAACGAGTTCGATAACCTGTCATACGAAATTGAGCGAGACTTGGGTATCCAGCCAGACCGTCGCACCCAAACACCGCATCCTTCGACCAAGTTCGGCCCAAACTCTTTTTTCGGCACGCCGCCGTCTTCTTCCAGCCCCGTTAACAAGCCATTTCGAATACCTGCTCTTTTCGCTCCAAGCGAAAAGGACCGTGGAAGACCTGCTCGAGCTCCCCAAGCTCGCGTTACCCAGGGTGGACCACGCGCCGGTCGTCGTAAATCTGATGGACTTGTCCAGCGCAAGCTTACTCTCAATGCCACAAAGAATCTGGGGCCCAGTGAGCTTCGAGACTTTACGACTGACTGCCTGGACGCGGATTATGATGCGTTCGAAGATGGCCATGTTAGTGGTATGCATCAATTGAATGGTTGGCATAGGCATGTTAGTCCTACTCCCACTGAGACAGTTTTGGCCAACACTTTCGAAAGACTGGGTGGTCTTCGGCGCAGACCCGAGGAGATACCCCACTCAGACCTGCGCCGTCCCATCAGTCCGAGCATGACTGAAGCATACGAGAATGCCGTCGCCAGACTGAATGCTCTGCGACCCCAGGCCGAGGATATCATCCAGACGGGTGGCGGTCGTGGTTACCCCAACCAGGTCATTGACCAGACAGAAGACGACGAGCAAACCGAGCAAAGAGTAAGAACGATGCGAGGATCAATTACAACGGCGCCGGACATGTCACCGCGCGCTTACTTGAGGAAGAGGTTGGCTTCCAGGTCAGGTCGAGGAACAAGACCCACAAGAGAATGAGATCAGAGATGCTACCATTTGAAAGACTCTATGACCAATCTTACTTACAAGTCCAGTCACTTGCGATTGATATCCGGCAGATGGAACAGCGAACAGTGCAAGCTTCTGATTGCGATTTCTACGTATCGAGCGGCAAGTCAGAAGTGGCGTTCAATCTCGAGCCGGCAGAAATGGACAATATCAGCAACAAACTTCAGGAGATTGTGGAAATCTGGGCACTTGAGGAGTATGGAGTGGAAGTGGAACTTGAGATCAATGTCGCCGAATTACTAATGGGGGATATGGATGTTGCAAGTTGATGACGGGATACATGGCGCAAAGAATGTGGCGTGAAATGAATTGCTTTTCAATCTTCGGATGGACGGGACAAGTCTCATCGGTGTATGTTGCAGATGAGCCTTACGCTCAAATATGATTCATGCGATTTGCTTTCAGCCGCCTTCCAGTGTGATTGTATTGTGCTTCCGTCTTTGCGATCCGTTCCAAGAACACTTGACTGAGTACAAACACACAAGAAGGACTGACATCGACTTGTTTATAACCTCCAGACAGCTGTGATACTGGCCGGTCGTTTATGCCAAAGATAGCAGCGTCACCCGGAGCCACCCGAACTGCAACTACCTTGAACGTGTAAAACGAACGACCAAGCCTTCTGATTTGACAGAGGATACCTAAATGACCTATAGTGTCAGAAAGTTGAATCACATCAGTCAAGACTTGATAAGCAGTTGGATCAATCAGCTAGCTCCCTGTGCTTCGAGTTATACACACTCCTTCTGGCCCCCTTTTCACCTGCGTATCCGAGGCGACGGGACGGAGACGTAAGTGTGGAATCGTGGCTCGAACCAAATGGACATCACCGTGGGCTGGTGAAATTTGGACTAGGTATCACTGCATCTTCTGCTGAATCATTAGAACCAGAATTGGCAGCGCCCGCCGCCATCATCGAGTCACACACGCGCACGCCATCTCCGCGTTGCCGCGTCGTATTCCCCTATCCCGGAGGTACGTTTGCCGCTGCCGACCTGCCACTCACTTCGGTGATGTAGATGGGCCGATATACGATGTGCCTTAGGTAAGGAGGGGGTTTGAACGGGAAGAGGGGGGGAAGGGGGAATCAGCCCGGTTCGCGGGCTAACAGTAGCGCACCATCGTATCATGATGCTGGCTTGCATCGGCCATTCTACCAGGGCCGCAGCACCACAATAGTTGAGCACGGTTTTGCGTTGCTCTGAAGCCACTGATAATGGCCTCTAGGCTGCGTTTTGGTGATAACTGCCTGCCTGTAGTCGGAGCGGTGTGGCTTGCCCGTGTCGGCTGGTCTGAAGATGGGCCGGTGACGGGACGGGAGCCACTCCGGGCACCATGGCGTCCTGCTTGTCTCACTTCTTTGAGGGTATGGCTGTTGTCACATTTGCTTGGAGATGAGCGGGATCCGAAGCCGCAGGGAAACGGCTCCGCAAATGGACTAGATGTGGTTATTAATAGCTTGTCGTTCTCGGATGCTTGAAGCCATCTCGTCAGACCCGGTGAGTTGTTGTCAGGTACGCGGGGAAGATGTGTGTGTGTGTGTGTGGCTTTGGTACGTCGGCAACTTTAAGAAAGTAACCCGCCGGACCGGTACATCGTAGACTCTCGACTAAAGAAGAGCTACACTGCACCCGCTCGGTAGCCGGCTGTACATGGAGGAAAGCCGATCGATTGCGTCTGACTTTCCCTTGTCCCTATTTCGTCACCTCGGTCTGCGGGGAAGTATGAACCAAGAGAAGGGGGGATGATGGATGCCAGACGCCAAATGGAGACGGGTTAATGAGTGAAGGGGTGGTATTTCTCCACCATTGCCGTTGTGAAGCAAGCGAATACCACAGCTCTGTTGCACCGGCCGTTCGGAATGACGGAGGACGACGGCAAGGTGGAGACGGGTAGAGTGCCGGTCGGTCGGTACTGGCGTCTTACTGAATTACGCACATGAGTACGGATAACTATCGAAGTCGGAGTTCCATCGATACCGAAAATAGCCAGCCAATGAAAGAAGGCTAGTTGATATGGGGATTGGCACGTGCTGAAGTTCGTATTACTTCAGTGAAGGAATCTGATCCCTATTCGTCTCTTCTTGCGGAGGGCGGAGGGACGGCGCGATGATTGGGTAAGCCGAGTGCGAGTCCGGGCAACGTCGACGCGGGATGATGACTTGTCGACGTTTCCTGGAGTTGACATGAATGAGGAGTATATGCGCTTCATTGGCGAGACTTGACGGAAATAACGCAAGTTAGGTCCTGTGGGCACGTAGCATGCGGTAAACCTGATGTTGAGCACCACGCTTGCACCTGGCGGTTGTACAGATAAGTGGAGGGGATAACGGCAATTGCGTGGTTGCAAGCAAATAATATGCGCGAGAAGCGTATTTCGACGTGGAATGCTGTGATGAGCCAAGGACACAATAGGTATCTCAACCGCCCTGCGTGGGACTGGTTGCACGGATGAAGTGTCCAGTTGTACAAATAGAGGTATAACACAGCTGGTGTTATACATGGAGAAGCCGTCAATCACAATTGAGGGCTGGTCCTCGTCGATGGTTTTTTTCTTGCTTGCTGTCAGAACTGTCCAGTGTCGTTGAGTTCAGGCGGTCTCCGCGTGCGCCTGGACCCAACTTGGGTGCTGCAGAAGTCTTGGTTGCTTCGTTCCGGGTTTTCGGCCTGGCACACGTTGTGGAGGGTTTTGACGATCACTTCTGCGACGCGGTTGATTGCGTGGTACCTTGGAACTTGGAACTTTGCTGGAGACATGGCGATCTCGATTCGGTAAGCTTGCTGTTTTTGTACTTTTGTCTGCTGGCCTGTGGCGGCTGATGTGAACATGGACGCTGTCCAGGCTGATTACAACCTATATGCCCCTGATGTCTGTTGACTAGAGTCACGGGATACTTCTAGAGCGGCATCGGGTTGTTCCATTCCTTGACGGTGAGGTGGACCCTCATGATGGTGGTCAATGTCGAGCAGTGTGATGCTTGTAGCCCGGGTTTCGTCTGAAGTCACAGTTTGCGCTGCCACTGTTCTGTTTAGTTCATGATCCTGGCAGATTGGCCCATGCACGCCCGTCGTCATCTCCGCCGAATTTGAGATTGCGATGCGTATCCGTACCTCCGTACAGAATGGATTGGACATGGCGGTGTGTTAGGTTTCTCCAGAACAGACGAACAGGAGACATCGTTCTGGAGCAGAAAGGGTTTTCTTCATCGTCAAGTCTGTCTTGAGGCCTACTGAATGGTGATTCAATAGAGTTCGGCATTTCGAATACGTTAAGACCCCTGACATTTTCTGGCGTTGGGGTTGGGGTCGGGGTTGGCGCTGGGTTAGTGCAGCTTGTTGATGACGTTGCGGATGATGAGCGGCATGAATGTGTGTATAAGTGAGTGTCTTGGAAGGCACGCGACGGGTGCAATGGCTGAAGAGCGGACTCGCGAAGGTAAGTCAGTTCGAGTGGTGTGTCAGCCATGTGAGACGCGGCGGTCGGTATGTACGAGCGCACTTTGATGGCATTTATTAGACGTTATCTTAGACCGAGACACAGGCACCGGCCTTGGTCCACCCGCCAGCTGTCGAACGAGGCTGGGGTGGTTACGGATACCTTGCCGTTTGCTGGAGTGTGATGCGTGATGCGTGATGCGGAATACGGGTACCGCCATCCGCACGTCATAAGGTGCCAGTTCTGGGGTTTCGGACCGGGCGCTAGCCATCTCGAGCAGTCAATTCGGAGGAGATTTTTTTGTCCTACCCGTCGCCATCCTGTTTACTGTTAGAACGAACCATTTGCCGTCACGGCGTCCCCCAGACAGTCTGCACTGACTTGTAGAGATAGGTATCACATCACCTTAGGTAAGGTATTGAAGGTTTGGAGTACCTAACCGTAAGGAATCTTAGCTTGCTTACTTTATGGATAGAGAAGAAAAGGCCGTGAAAAAAAGGGTCCAAAGCAAATACGGATACTGACCATGGAAATGAGCTGAAGAAAAGGCGGCGACGGAGTCAGCTGCATTCTGACCTGACAACCAGCCGGCTACCTGACGTGACCTGAATTGAAATGGACCAGACGGGCAACGACGGGGCTCGGCTGCGCCTTACTGAGTGGAGACCGCCAACCTCACGGGGGACGCCCAACGGGCAGCCAACCGGTAACTTGGAATGAGACAGGGGATCCCTTGGATTTGTGGCTTGTCTGGCCAAAAATGGGAGGATGGATTGATGGGGGGAAGACACTGTGGAAAGAAGCGAAAGGAAACCTAGAACTTGGGTGTACTCTTTAGGGAAGTCGGCAGGACCTGGAAGCATGGCAGCAGGCACCAGCGAATCCCATTCTCTCGACTAATACATCTCCTCGGTAAGTACATACGTTACGTTAGAAAAGAAAAGAAAAAGATTTTTTTTTGCTTCACTGAGCACTCAGTAAGGCACCCAACTTTAGGAGACTTGGAATGCTTCGGTTGACGTGCCCTGCATTAGGAAATGCAGCGCATCGCCGAATGGCGCCGCAAATTCCATGGCCTTGCTCCATACTGCATCATACTGGGCTGCTCCCAGCAACAAGCCAGCGCACTGATCGGTTCTTAGTTCCGGGGCTGAATGGGCCCTCCTCGACTGAATGCCCCCGAAAGGGAGCCCTGGACAGCGACTGGACGAGCCCGTGGCAAAGAACAGCATGGACAAGGGACGGGGGACGGGGCAAGATGAGGGACGATTCGGACGGGATGCACACGACCTGAGGGAATGAGGATGGCGAGGTGCTCAGCCACCGAGGTGCAGACGCTCTGCAGGCGGAGCTGGCTGCTATTTGTTTCTGCGTTAGGTTACGAGAGGTGGTCCAGTGTTCAGTGTTTCTGGTACCTACCTAAGGTACCTACGTATCCATACCCATGCAGGGAAAGAGGTCCTCAGTTGCACTAAACAAAACAGTACCTTACCTACTTGGGTACGTAGCCATCGCGAGCCAGGGGTCGGGGATGTTTTTTTGCTGATGTCTTCCCTCCCGCTCTACCAATTCGTACCTTAAGGTACTACCGTCCAACAATCCGTCTCCCGTCTGGCTCGACTTGTACCTACGTAGGTATTTGCACTTGCATCTGCATCGGCAGCGGCACCACCACCACCACGCCGTTGTGCTCGCTCAGTCAGACACACACGCACACCCACCCGTTCAACGTTCTTTCGCCTCTCCCCTCGACTTCTCACTCCTACTCTTACCGCCCGCCGTTCCTTCTTCATCCCACCGAATCCGTGACCTCCGATCATACAATACCGACGACCAAATCGAAGAAACCCGTCAACGTCCAGCGCTGACGCCGTTGGGCGAACGAACCGAAGACACCGACACGAAACGATACGAGCCGACCGCTGCAGGAATCCCAAGATGCCGATATTCTAGCACACAACCTCGTGCTTCTCTCCATCTCTCTTTCCTTGCGTGTGCGTCTCTCGTTCACCCTTCAACATTCACCTTCGGCGCCCACTGCAATCGTCGACACCGTCGCCCACGCTGGCCCGAACCATGCGAATGCCTCGCACTGCTCCTCCGCCAGACCTGCCCGATCTCGATTGTGTTCCAAGATATGCAGCTTCCACTTCTCCAGAATATGGAAAACGCGCCTCTTCGCTGCCATTCCAACTCATGACATCTACTCGCTCGCTTTCTCAAATATTCCGATCCCCTCCACCCGACTGCACCATGGATCGCCATCACCACGCAACCCCACGTTCGCCTTCCTCACGATTCTCCCTAACTACGTCCAACCTCTTCGGCATGCTTTTAGTCATCCTCGCATGCCTGGCCCTCCAACCCGTTGCGGCCGTCTTGATTCCCTTCGACAACTGTCTTGACAGCAGTTATACGCGTACTGAACCGAATAAAACCGCGACTCTGCAATGGAGTGCGCTCTACGTCGATGCCCGCTTTGAAACAGACGACCCAGGCCACAACCTCCAGGTCATCGTCTGGGGCAATGTGTCTGGCTCTTACACAAATCCTGTCGGAACTGCCCCTGCCTGGAACGATCCGGACTGGAGAGATGATAGCAAAGAATACGGCAAAATTCTAGACAAACCCGACAACGGCAACGTCACGACTCTTCAAACAAAAGTCAATGTCCTGAGCTATCAGCCTTACTTCCATAGAAGCGCTTTCTGCAACGGCAGCATTGCCAACGATACAGGAAGCCTTATCAACGGCAGCTGTCCGCTGGCGCCCACGTTCAATACTTCAGCATTGTAAGCTTTGCTTCTTCAATACTCAGTTTGTGCCTAGCTAAACCATTGCAGTGAGAGTCCCTACGGCAACTTACCCGCCATCAAGTTGTCTCAAGACTTTAACGCTTCGTACGCCTTCTCGTCGTTCGCCCCGACGTTCCTGCTCATTTATGGCAACAAAGGAGCCACTCAAATCGGCTGTGTCTCTGCAACGGTGACGCCCGACCTCGGCAGTCTATCTGCGCTACTGCGCTACCTTCCACTCGTGGTTCTGCTCTTTGTTGGCTTTGCTACCATGTTCGCCTCCATCTTCAGCCCCTCAGGCTCAACCGACATCTTTCACTGGACGACGAACTATGGCCGAGATGATAATCTGCTGCGCCTGGTCACACCCGGCTTTGGAGACTGTCTCCAGTACATCCAATTCGTCGCTCTTACCGGCGGATTGTCCATCAACTATCCTGGTTTCTACCAGCCGGTTACCAGTCAGGTCGGCTGGTCAGCGCTGATGTTCAACGAGAGTTTTGTCAGCAAGTCAACCGGCTGGCAGGCGATTCAAGATGGCATCTACGTCACCAACGGTACCTATGGGCTGCACCGGTATGCGCAGATGGTGGGCATGACCGATGTTGAAGATATCTGGGCCGGTACCATGGTCTGGGTCTGCGTAATAGTGGCGGCTCTCTTCGTCCTGATCCAGCTTGGCTTTTTCTTCCGCTGGATCTTCCGGCTCATAAGCGATACCCCTGAGGAGGACCTTCGCGCCAAGAACATACCATTCTCGGTCGGGAACGTCGTGCGGGTCGTCTTCAACTACCTCCTGCTGCCGATCGTCGCTCTGTCGACGTTCCAGCTTGTCGTCGCTGGCCAGTCTCGCGAATTCGCTGTCGCTCTAGCTGTTATCACTCTGCTCATCCTGGTATGCTTCGCTGCTTGGTTACTATATCTAATCATCAGAACCAAACCAAGGGCGGTGCTATTCGATGATCTGCCGACCGTTCTTCTGTATGGGCCACTTTACAACACCTACTCCGATGAAGCCGCAGCCTTCGCTCTGATACCCGTGATCCTGACTTTCGTACGAGGCATCACTATCGGGGCCGTGCAGCCAGTAGGTATTGCGCAGATCGTCATTCTTGCTATATGCGAGGTCATATACGTGTTGACTCTGCATGCATTCCGACCTTTCTCGTCTCCGACGTCAATGAACGCCTATCATACTCTGTTTTCGGTTCTTCGTTTCGCAACTGTCATGCTGATGGTCGCATTCGTACCTCAGATGGGAGTTACAGAGGGGCCAAAGGGGTGGATAGGCTACACTATCTTGCTCATCCACGCGTGTGTACTGGTACTTGGGTTCTTCCTCAACGCGCTGCAGACTATCATTGAGGTCACCGCAAATATTCTCGGGGCTGGAGGCGATGAGACTCGAGGTCTTTCGCATGGAGGCTTGTCCAAGATTTTCGGCATGCGCCAGTTGCAACGGCGCACTTCCCGACGACGAAACGGCCCCTCCCGAGCAAGCCAGCTCTCGACCACGGGCATGCTCGACGCTGACGAAACATCAAAAACCGGCTACATCATGCGTGGCGGTAGACTAAGGAGTGAGTCGGCAGGCAGCGGTTTCTTGCTCAGAAGCCAGCAACGCAGTTCTTCCGCGCTTGACAGCATCGACCCGTACACTGGACAGGTTCGCAACTTTGATAGTGCCAGCAACTTTACGCCAACCACCCCTGGCGAGGTCACGTCATTCTCATTTCTACCCTCGCCCGCGGCTGCAACTCGGCCACCAGCTGCCGTCACTGTCGAGTCCGCCGATCCATACTACCGTCCGCCGCGACGTCGTGGAGATACCATCAACGGCTCGTCAACATCTCTCAATCGGAACTCAGTCGCCGAGTCGCGCCGCTACAGCCAGGCGGGCACACACTTGGGAGAAGCTGCAGCAGACTTGGAGGCGCAACGGGGGCCCACGCCTGCCCCCCCTCAAGCCATTAACTTGACGCCAAGGGCCGACTACTCGACGAGAGAGGTCGATTTCTACTATGGGGTCCGGGGTCCGGCTCTGAACTCCGAGGGTGTTGGTCGTAAGCTCGGAACTGGCCCTGCAGACCCTACCGGCCCCATGTCCTCTGCTGCAGGATGGTTCCGCAACTTCTTTGGTGGAAAGACCAAGGAGAAGGGTAAAGGATTCGAAGTTGTTCGAAGCTCGAGGATGCCGCCGGCGATGCGCGCGGCAGCTAATGCGGAATATGTTGCAGAGCCCCCACCGGAAGGAATTCCTGTGGCGATGGGTGTCTTGAGAAACGGGCCAATAGAGTCTGACGACGATGAGCCCAAGAGCAAAACTGCACGGAAGGCTGCGCAGAATGGAGAGACTGCACAGAATTCGGACAACCTGCTTAACGATGACGGACTCTCTGTTGCGTCGTCTGAATCCGAAATCGAGGCCGTCAGTATCCCAAAGGTTGCCGACGCACCACCCACTCTTCCCGGGATTGCGAGCTCAGGAAGCTTCAAGCTGCCAAGTCGAGTGGCGTCAAAGGCGAGTCGACAGGCATCCCAGAGACACAGACGGCGATCCACAGAGTCGGATACTCCCGAGATTCCAAGGAAGAGTTCTAAAAGGGATTCAGGCATGATGACCCGTGGGCACTCGCCTACGCCCTCTTTCAACCTCATCCCGCCTACGTCGCCTACGGGGCCCCTTCCTGGTCTGTCCAGTGGCGAGGTCACTCAAATGCCCGGCAGCCTGACTTCGTCGCCTGCACCAGGACGACTTCCTTTCGAGCGATCTAATTCTCACCAGAAACGCTTGTCTTCGAACGGGTCATCGTTGGAGGAATTCAATATTCGCAGAACGCCAAGCACCGATCGACCGACAAGTTATGGCGTCGTAGCACAGCATAGTATCAGTAGAGTGGACCCTGGCTCAGATCAGGAGGTCGACTTGCTGGGTACTTCAGCAGAGCTTGTTGATGAGCGAGGCCCCTCAAGTCGGAGCTCATCGGCGGAAGGACGGGCTCGCTGAGAAAGAAATACCTCCCCTTACTGCACATTCCCTACATTTAGTATCTTGGGTGGCTTCTCATCTTTTAATGGACACGATGTATAGATCCACTATAGCGGAATGCTCGGGGCCGCTGATTACCGAGCAAACGGAACAATGGTTTGGAAATGGAGTCCGGTTGTCACACTCATGGGTGCTTTTTTAGCGACGGCGTCTTAAAAGAACCGGACCAGGCTGGTATTTGATGGGTGGCCTGTTTTTTCTTAGAATTTCTTGTCACCAAGCCAAACGGATTTGGGCAAGAACTGTATGTATCTAGTCATGAAGCCTCTCTGCGAAGGTTACTGAGTCTCGATTGAAAAATTTAATTGTCGCAAGCTAGCTCAACCTCCGACAAACTTGATCATGGACTAATTGTACGCCGTGACTGGCATGTGTTGCTGTTTAGAAGCGTACGAAGCTGCCGACGGGTTTGCATAGCTCGGGCCCCGCGGAAAAGTAGTATGAGGTGGGATTCTATGGCTAAGCCACACTGCTCAAGATGTGTACCTTCATTGGCGGCCATTGATGTTCAGCGAGAAGTTAGTATTTATTATTACAAGCGTTATTGTTGCACGCCATGTATTGCTGTTCTAAGATGTCGACGTGTTTGCCTTACACCTCGGTGAGAACATGCCCTCATAAGGTCGAAAGCTGACACCCACTGGGGTTTCGTTCAATGCCCAAGAAGAGGTCGAATTCGCGGCAGGAGCTCAAATGGGTTATGCCGCCATGAATAATCAAGAGCAGCAAGGCCAATATACCGTGAGTGGAGGCAGTCGTTGGTGAATGTCAAGCTGTCGATGACCCCGCCATTGAGATCATAATGCTTATCGATAAGGCAGCGCGATAAGATTTTTTTTTTTTCCCGTTCGGCAGGCCCAGTTGGAAGCGGCTACCTGCGCAAGAACGCTCAGCTCAACATAGTCTCTCACTCAACTTTCTCTCCCTCTTGATATACCTAAGTAAAAGTTTTACCGCTCCCAATTCTTTCACGCCAAACCAATCTATCACAGTATCAAAAATGGCGCCGACTCGCCCCAACAAAAAGTCAAAAAAGAGAACCGAGAAGAAGCCCTCCAACCCGGCTCTCCTCCTCGTCGATGCCAGTACCAAGCTGCAAGAAGGTGACCTGGAGAAAGCCGTCACGGCCGCAAAGAAGGCGCTCGATGGCACCGGTTCAGGAGGCGACTACGAGCTGGCTGCCGTGAATCTCTTGGGACAAATCAGCATCGAAATGGGCGAAATCGACGACGCGAGAGCGTATTTCATGAAGGCAGTTGAGCTCGACCAAGATGGATCCCTTGACGAGCGCATAGGTGGCGGACCGGAAAAGTTTTTGTGGCTCGCACAGCTGAGCGAGGACGGTGGCCAGGACAGCGTCAAATGGTTTGAGCGCGGTGCGTCTTCGCTCAGGGGCCAGATCCAGACGCTCGCGGAGCTGCCGAAGAGGAATGAGGAGCAGGAGGCGCAGCTCGAGGAGAGGAAGAGGAAGCTCGGCGGCACTCTGTGCGCCGTCGCCGAGGTGTTCATGACAGATTTGTCGTGGGAGGTCGATGCGGAGCAGAGGTGCGAGGCGCTCATTACGGAAGCGCTGCTTGTCGCGCCCGAGCTGGCGGAGACGTGGCAGACTGTGGCCAACGTTCGGATATCTCAGGAGAAGATTGACGAGGCGAAGGCGGCGTTGACGAGGAGCTTGGAGTTGTGGATACATCTGCATCCCTTGGACCCCAATGTTCCCGACTTTCCGACACGCATCAGCTTAGTTCGGTTGCTACTCGAGGTGGAGATGGAGCAGGAGGCCATTGAGGTGTTGGAGAGGCTTGTTGGGGACGACGACCAGAGCGTCGAAGCATGGTATCTGGGTGGTTGGGCGCTTTTCATCTTTGGCGAGAAGCAGAAGGAGAAGAAGTTGGAGAGCAAGGAAGAAGATGAGTGGAAGACGACCTGGAGCACGTCGCGGCGTTGGTTGATGCGTTGCCTGAACCTATATGCTGCCCAGGAATACGAGGATGAGCGTCTGGGTGAGCATGCTAAGGAGCTGTTTGCGGCCATCAACAAGGAGCTCGGCGACCCACCGGCGAATGAAGAGGACGACGACGGATGGGAGGATGCTGAGAGTGATGGTGATGATGCGATGGAAGAATAGGTTAAAGGAATGTGTCCCATTCTACAGTCGACGCCACAGCCGTTGCGAGGAGGAAATGGTCATGAATATACGGCGTTGGGAGTTTGATAACAAACAAAGAGATATCGATAGAGTCATGTCTCCTCCTATTCTCGGAGGACTTTTCTTCATTGAGGCATGCAGACGAGCTCTAGTACTCGAGCCACATTCCTTCTTAGATTCCGCACTATAAACCCAAAACGCCGATGTAATGCACTCCTTCCAGGGCCAGAGACAGCAGGCAACTACGCCGCCTCGACCTTGAGCTTCTCAACACCTTCGGTAAGCCCGCCTTCGTCGTCTTCGTCGTCGACCTTGCCAACCAAACCACGCTCCCATAGCTGCCTTCCCGTCAGCTTCACGGGCTCCTTGACCTTGGCCTTCTTCAGCTCCGCCAGGCGCTCCTCCTCCTCCTTCTGCCGCAGCTCTGCCATCTCCTTGAGGAAGTCATCGCGCCACTTGAGAAACGTCTCCGGCGTGACGGGGGTGCCCTGGAACTTCTTGTTCTCCTCACGCTCAGCGGCAAGGACGGCCTCTTCGCGCTCCTTCTCCTTCACCTGCTTGCGCTCCTCGATGAGGGTCTCGGCGGCCTCCTTCAATGTGGTGACGACTGTGAAGATCATGGCCATACCAAGATTCTCCTGTATCGTCTCTTCCAGGCCTTGAAGAAGGCGCTCCTTGTCTTGAGAGACGTTGAACCACTCGTGTGGGGGAGCGTTGGGCGTCGATTGCAGGTCGAGCATGGGCGGCTCGTCGGGGTAATTTTCGGGGTAGCGGACTTGGAGAATCATGATGGGCGGGTCCTCGTCGCCGAGCACATCGAGTACGATTGTTATTCTGTATTCCGTCTCTGAGATATCTGCACGCTGGGGTCAGTGTTTGCTGGCGGCATGGCCATGGTGGGGTAATCGCACCTGTGATCTCATCTGGAAAGATGGAGTCGAGCACCTCGCGCTCTTCGATTTGTTCTTCTCGGCCCATGACTGATGATACGACAAGTACGTGCTCCTTGGTAAGTGTCGAGAGGTTAGAGTTGACCGATGTGCAGTTGCTCGTCGCTGTCGGCGGTGCAGATGACGGTTGAAAGATGCCGTAGCTGTGCGGTAGAGGTACGTACATGCACGATGGTGGGGTCGCAGCTCTATCTGGGCCTAGCGCATAGCTGACCGCCCGGCAATTCAAATAAAAATTTCAGAATTCCTAGCAGTTTTGCGACCGCTGTAAGTCCCTAGCCGCCAGTCCGTCTGTCTCAGTGCTGCACTCTCTCTGTACACCGAGACAGAGTTTGCGATTGTCCCTGTCCACGACACAACCCCCAGACCTACACAATGGCTGCCAACGGTGTCAAGGCTGGTAGCAAGCGAAAGACTGCCCCCGCTGCTGGCAAGGGTGCTTCCGACGGCAAATCGAAGAAGCCCAAGTTCGAGAAGAAGGCCGAGCCCGCGGAATCTCCCGAGGAGGACTTGGAGGACGCCATGGATTCTTCGGACTCTGATGACGGGGGAGTCAAGCTGAACCCGCGCGAGAGGGCCAAGCAGGCTCAGGAGAAGGGCAAGAAGGAGGGCGGTAAGCCCGACAAAAACAAGAACGTCCAATTCGGTCAGTCGTTGGGATAAGCCATGTTCATCTGGAGACTGCTTGCTAACCCTAGTTGCGCAGGACAAAACTCGAAGGAATCCCACGCCATTCAGAAGAAGCTGGCTCTCGAGCGCAAAGCCGCGAAGCCGCTCGCCGACGAACTCGCACGAACCAAGAAGATCTGGGAGCGATTGAGGAGGAAGTCTCACGTGCCGTCCGAGGAGCGGAAACAGCTGGTCGACGAGCTTTTCACCATCATCACCGGCCGCATCAAGGACTTCGTTCTGAAGCATGACGCCACCCGAGCCGTCCAGACTGCGATCAAGTACGCGAATACCGCTCAAAAGAAGCAAATCACCAAGGAGTTGCAGGGAACCTACTGTCAACTTGCTGAGAGCAGATACGCGAAATTCCTTATCGCTAAGTTGGTCGTTCAGGCCGACTCCGAGATCAGGGATATGATCATCCCCGAGTTCTACGGCAAGGTCCGCAAGCTGATCAATCACCCCGAGGCGTCATGGATCCTGGACGATATCTACCGCCAGGTTGCGACAAAGGATCAGAAGGCCATCCTTCTGAGAGAGTGGTACGGCCCCGAGTTCGCCATTCTTGAGCGCAGCAAGGACGAGAAGCCGACTGCGGATCTGTCGGTGATCCTTGAGAAGGACCCGAGCAAGCGCGGTCCTATCTTGAAAAGTCTCCAGAACATGATCAACTCGTTGGTCCAGAAGAAGATGACTGGTTTTACCATGCTCCACGACGCCATGTTGCAGTACTTCCTGAACATCAAGCCGGGAACCGAGGATTTCACCATGTTTCTGGAGATGATCAAGGATGACGAGACAGGTGATTTGCTCAAGAACATGGCGTTCACCCGTTCGGGATCTCGGTTGGTGGCCCTTCTTTTGGCCCACGGTACCTCTAAGGACCGTAGAAATCTTTTGAAGGCTTTCAAGGACAACTTCGTCCTGATGTCGGGCGACGCCTTCGCCCACATTGTTATTCTCACTGCCTTCGATGTCATTGACGACACGAAGATGACGCAAAAGGCAATCTTCCCTGAGTTGATTGGCGACGACAAGGAGAGTGCTACGGACAACATAATCGTCGCCACGACAAATCCCTTCGCAAGGGCAACCTTGCTGTACCTGCTCGAGGGTCAATCCCGGGCGTTGTTCCCTCCGAGTATGAACGACGACCTGGCCATTCTCAAGGAGGTTGATGAGATTCGCCAGACAACCAGTAAGAAGGATGCCGAGGTCCGTAGAAAGGAGTTGGTGGCTGCGATTTCACCCGCCCTTGTCGAGGCTGTTGTTTCTTCCGCATCAACACTTGTAGCGGACGCCTTTGGATGCCAGCTTGTTGCCGATGTGCTGCTTTCCGCCGAGGGTGACAAGACCGAGGCCCTCAAAGCCGTGGCTGCTGTAGCAGAGGGCGACCCCAGCGCGGAGCCCATGGAGGAAGACGGCGTCGCTGCGCCCCCAGTTCATGTTTCTCGGACACCATACGGAGGCCGTCTCATCAAGACGTTGATTGCTGGTGGCAAGTTCAACAAGGAGACCGGTAAAGTCGAGCTTGTTGAGCCACCACTGAAGTTCGCCGACATCTTGTACCCAGTCATTAAGGACCACATCCTTGACTGGGCCACCGGACCTAGTTCTTTTGTTGTTCTGAACATGCTCGAGGCTGAGGACTTCAACTATGCTTCTGAGCTGAAGAAGGTTCTCAAGAGCCACAAGAAAGACCTGCAAAAGGCTGCCACCGAGGAGACGGCCGACCAGAAGGCCGACCGCGAGGCGAAGGCGCAGAAGGAGGCGGAAAAGAGTGAGAAGGGAGGAAAGAAGGGCAAGAAGGTTGGTGCGAAGTCGGACAGACCCGTCGGTAATCTTGGTAGTAAGCTGTTATTGGAGAAGCTCTAGACGATGTACACTGTAAATGGGTCGGCGAAACAAAAAGTTGTTCCTAATGTTTTTCAATACCCACACGCGCATGGCTGTACGACCATTCAGTGTGTTGCTGGCGTGCAACAGGGTTCCATAGCTTGAGGGGGCTACAATAAAAGGAGTTGGCGGTTAACTAAATCATTGAATGTCTCACTTCCCACGCCGTCGACGCTGGAAGCTGTTGCGATCGCCCGACTCAGATCTTGGAGCGGCGGATAGGAATGGGGTCTAGATCTGGGAGGGCTTCGCTTCTGCGGCGTTCGGTGACGCAGACAGATGCAACGGGTGTGGTGTATTTAGGCTGTCTTCCTGTCCGCTTCCGTCCACACTCCAAGTCCCTGCTTCGTGGTTCACGAGGCGAGAGCAGGTGCTGATCAACTACTATGGTAATCCCATGTGTGCCTATCCGCCTTGTCCTCGTTCAATATCACAACTTGCCCCGGGAGCAACACACCCCGCTCACTGAACACGGCCAAGTAAAGGGACCGACATGACCAGCCACGATGCCGTGGGGAGAACGGGCGTCCGGGAAGCGTTGCAGAGGGGACGGAAATTGACTTGTAGTTGAACTTCTACCGCAGATCACACCCGACTGCGATGTATGCCTTGGCGTCATCATTCAACCCGTTCGTGTTGCTGGTTTTGTTTAAAGAAACGAAGCGGGCTGGAGCTGCAACCGAGGAAGTGAGGTTGTGTAGTGAATACCTGCGCACGAGAAAAAGAACAAAGGCATCCAATCCACCTTGGGACTTGGGGAGCATCAAAACTTGCCTAAGGTACCTACCTACCTACCTACCCAGGCAATTGCCTCGAGATCAACGCCCGATGAAAAGGCAGGAGCGAGGCACTTCACACTAGGTATCGTCCGTCCCTTCCTTCCCCGGGTGACAATACCAAGTACACCTGTTGACCTAAGGCACCTTCTCCTGTTGCACCTCGCCCCCGTCAAAAGTCCTCGTCGACTGAATCACACTTACAGGTTACTCTTTTCGCATACAGCCCATCGACGTTCGTTTGGCAGGGGCCAACTCACCGCATCCCCTTCTGCGTCACTCATGTCCATCTATGTGATGGTGGCACGAGACGTCTTCTAGCCCTTACCCAGCATCATTTTTTTCCCTTTGCCTGTAACCATCATATCTCACACCTCACAAGAGAGGCAGTCGCCATCATGTGGATTTCTATGGATGCTCCTTTCAAAGCAGCGGTCGACAGCAGCAACGTCTGCTCATCCGGCCTCAAATTCGTCAAGTGCCCGACCTGGAGCGGTTGCTGCGTTGTCAACGATTGCAAAAATCGTGACGGTTGCCCTGACGCGCAAACAACGGGCAAAAAGACAGCAACTACTATCGCGGCCGTCGCCCCTCCCATCGCAGCTTCCCCTACTCCCGCGAAGTCGGATAAGTACCGATCCGACACTCGGCTGCTGCAATCGACATCGAAGCCTCCATTGACCGCTGGCCTTACGACCTACTTCAGCAGCGAGCCCACCGGAGGCGGTGCTTGGTTCACCGACACCAAGGCCTTGCCTCTCCCCACCGCCGTCTCTCTGACGTCTGGCGCCGCCATCACTCAGACTTCTCCAGCTGTCGCTTCAGCTACCGCTCCGACAGCCGAGAAGAAAGGTTCTCAGCTCTCAGGTGCAGAAAAGGGTGGGATCATCGGTGGTGTCGCTGGCATCATCCTGGCAATCATTGTCATCTGGTTCATGTGCGGTAAGCAGAAGAGAAAGCTCAGGTCTCGGTCCTCCATCGATTCTCTGGACAAGACCGGAGTCAATGGCAGTGTTGAAGAGGAAGATACCCCGGTGCCGCCCACGACTGCCAACTCTGTCCAGCAAGAACAGCAGTCGACCAGCAGCTATTCCCGTTCCGAGAACGTCTTTTCGCCTTTTGGAGGTAGGTTCACGTTACTGTTGATACTGAGTGACTCCATTCGAAGCTAATGACTTACAGGACGATACGAAGAACCTCAGAGCCGCTTCAACCGGATCAGCGAGATGAATCCCAACAGCAAGATGATGAACCACCCTGTCAACCCCATGTCTCGCGATTCCATCGCTCCCCCTCCCATATCGAGCGTCGTTGCGAGGTCTACAACTGCGAGCCCTGAAGTCATTGCTAGATCAGCTACGGCAAGCCCCGCAATCATCGCCAGATCAGCTACTGCCAGCCCCGAGTTCATGTCCCGGCTGGGTACAGCTACTCCTGAGCTTCAGGGCCCCCCGCAGGAAGCAGCTATCGCTGAACTGGCTTCACCTGGCCTGCCGAAGGTCGTCGAGATCCACAGCATTCGCAGCGGCGTCAAGAAGTACAAGCCTTACCGCCCCAATGCATCATCCATGTATCCGGTTGCCGAGACCACGCCAAGTTACCTTACGGGGACAATGAACGCTACACAAGAGGAGCGGTCGAGCATGAAGTACGTCAACAGCTGGAAAGAGTGGGAGTCAACTACCTGAACGACTGCTGACGATACACCTCCCCGTTGAGGACCTAACGAAGTTGATGAGCGATCAGAGTTTAGGGCGGTTCATTACGGGTCGGGATTTCGCCGGCGTTCGATACCCAGGGTTTGCTTTCACTCGGTTTTTTTCTTTTGCAAATTTTCCTGATCTTGCCGGTTCTTGTCAGAGTTGATTCACAGAGGTTTGAGGGAAGGGTTGAGGAACAAGTTGGAGATTGAGGTGGCATGAAGAGCCAAACATGGTCCTGATAGGTAGACCTACATAATAAGACATCGTCTCTACTCCGTCAAGTTGAGTGATATTGCTCTCACGAGCGGCGCCGCTCATGAAGGTGAGCAACCACGTTGTCTGATGGCCGTCCTTTGCCAAATTCAATGGGTATTTTGGTATTCAACACATACGTACTAAAACAATCTGGTCGCCCCCAGTTTTACGCCAAACATGCAGTGTAGTCTTCTTTTGCAGAAGCATTTCCGTTCCCAGCCCATTCTTTTTTATATTTCCGAAAAAAAGAGGTATCATCTAGTTGATGCTTTTCTCTTCGCTCGACCTGATCCCTCACGGACATTGGTAGAGAGAATCTCTGAAACCTCTTCTTCCCACGTCGCCATTACGCTTGGCTTGTATTGTGCGATGGTCAAGCCGGTTCGACGGGGCAGTTGCGCTTTTGGATCAGATGTGTCATCTGCTCTGGAGCTTGCTAATCTCATCGAGGAGTATTTGCAGGTCATCGTCGCTGATCTTATCCTGGAGAGACGGGATAAGGGTCTTCGCCTCCTCAGCGGTCTCGCAGCAGAGGGAGCCTGTAAGCTTGGTCAGATTTTGCAACTTCAGCGAGCAGCATCGCAGGGTGGTAGCTACGTACCTATTTGCGCCCGCTCAAACTTTGCCAGCTGCTTGTGGGCACTGAGCAATCGCTCGACGGCCTCGACGTTCTCCTTCTGGCGAAAACGAGAAAAGGCATCGAGGTAGTTGAGGGTCTGGGTCAACATCCTGCAGATCCAGTCAGCAACTGTGAATTATATCGCCATCGCGGCGACTGCAGCGTCGCGGGGCGGCGCGAGAGTTTGGGCGGCGCATGTGCTCACTCGGTCTCGTTGATGTTCTTGCGGTCCATCTTCCTCTTGGTCACGAGCGCATTAATGACGAGCGAAGCTTCGGAAAGGGTCAAAGTGTCGACGTTCTGGAATTCGCCGAGGTTGAGGATTGAAGAGGCCTCCTCGCTGCCGGGCGGCGGAGGCTTGGGTCGCGACGTGGGAGCGTGATGCGACATGGTTGTTGGAGGAGACGTGGAAGTTTGCGACCCGTGACGGGCGGTGGGTAGCGATATGGGCCTGCGTTGTGCGATCGGGCGCGAACGTGATGTTATAGATGTTTCGGCGCCGGCGCGGAAGCGATAGGTAGCGACGTGCGGATTGGAGATGTGATGGTTGCGGTTGCTGGTGAGGCTGGGAATTGAATGGAAAACACCCCCTGGTGCTTTTGCCTTGCCTCCAGGCCCTTTGTGTTCTGTCTGGGGAAAAGACGGAATGGAAGGCGGCGGGGCCCACCAGTCGGACAGGAACCGCTGTATGTGTTCGTACCTACCTTACCTTACCTTACACTGTACCTGTAGGGGTGTGGCTTGGAAACAGTGGGGGTACCGGATAGGTTTCCATTAACAGCCAGGTGGGTGAGGTGAAGTCAGGGACGGGAGGGGCCAGCACAGCGAAGTCACGTTTCCCGTCGTCCGCTGTAAGGTACATTATCCCCAGCCGAACCTGAGGCCAGCTGGACCGGCATTCCGAAATCGCGAGTGAATGAGAGAATCAACGAACGTCAATGATTAGAAGCCAAACCGAGGACCTGATTGAATCAAAAGTCGTCAGCTGTAAGCTGATTTGACTGAAAACCATGTGCGTGTCTCCTATCGTCTTCGTATTGATCGGTTGTCAGTCACTGACCACAACACAGGACCGTCTTTGCGCTCATCGTCATCAACAAGGCTGGAGGCTTGATCTACAACCGCACCTTCCACGACGGCGGCCTCAATCAGCTGAGCACAAACGACTACCTCGTGCTAGCAGGGACTTTTCATGGGTGAGAATGGAGTTGCATATCCTCTCGTACGACTCCAAGGCTCACACGTGTGCAGTGTCCATGCCATTACCGCGAGGCTTCACCCCCTGAAGAACCAGCAAGCTGCCGCAGCAGCAGCAACAGCAGCGGCGGGGGGCGTTCCGAGCCGTCCGGAACCGCCGTCAGGGTTGGAGGTCATGGAGACGGAGAATTTCCGACTGCAATGCTTCAATACCATGACAGGCACCAAATTCCTGCTTTTCACCGACACCACTCAGACCAACATCGATGTCATCCTGCGCAGGATATACGATCTCTACAGTGATTACGTTATGAAGAATCCCTTCTACCAGCTCGAGATGCCTATCCGGTGCGAGATGTTTGAGCGGAAACTCTTGTCATACATCAGGGAGATCAACAATCGATAATGTCTGGTTATGAGTGATGGCGCCGATTAGAATGGGAGGGTCGCCTTTTGTCGTGCCCCAAATGGGTTGGAATTTCAACGTAACGGCGTTTGCAGGAGTACCAGGGTCTTCTATTGAGCAGCATGCCTCTAGGACCAAGCCAGTGTTCTATTTTACATACTCAAGTAGTGATCAAGCAGACAAACAATCCATCGGAGACGGTTGATCCCGCCTACGAGGTGTCCATCCTGTCGTCATCTTTCTTGTCACCCTTCTTGCTCGACTCGCCTCCGTCCTTGTTGAGGAGGGGCGCGTTCTCGCCCTCCTCCTTGATGTCCTCGAGCGATCCCTTGCCCGACACCTCGGCCTCCTCGCGCGCCTTCTTCTCCTGCCGCGCCTTCTCGTCCTCCATACTCATACGCAGAGCAAGAGCGAGCTCCGGGTCCATGGCCGGGTCGAAGTCGAACTCGCCAAAGTTACCGCCACCGCTCTCCATGCCCCCGCCGCCGCTGCCGCCCGCTGCCTCGCCGAGGAGGATCGGACTCGAGATCAGCTGATCGCTGAGAAGCTTGCTGCTGGGCGGGATGACCACGAGGTGAGATCCCTCGCCGCCCTTAACACTCTCGTTGAACGCTTGCAGCTTCTTCTGCGTGTCATCATCGTCCAAATCGCCAAACAGTACGAAATCGACCGAGACGTTGCCCTTCTTCATCTTCTTCGCCAGCTGAACCAGCTTCTTCTCCTCCTCCTCGATGGGGGAGCAAACGAAGACGATTATCCGTTGTCGTTGGGACTTGTTCTGACGGTGCTTGAGGGCGAGCTGTAAGGGTTTCGACGTTAGCGAGGCTTTGCCGAGATGCTCGATGTGAGATGGACTAATTTTTGATTGTACTTACGCCAGCGACCTGGATCCCTGTTGCAAGGTGTGATGATCCCTTGATCTTGGTCTTCGTGCGATGCAGGCCGTCGAGAATCTTGCCCTGATCTGTGGTGAGGGTGACCAACACCTCCGGGCTCTTGTCACCCATGCTCATCAGGCCGACCGAGGACTCAGGGTTGCCGTTGGTGATTGTCTGGAAGACAACGTTGACGGCATCGGCTTGGGCGTCGAATCTTGTGGGCTGATAGTCGCCATTGCGACTGCTTTCGCTGTTGTCGACAACGACCATCACCGCTTCGAGAACCATCTTGACGGTTGTGGCGGAGCGCCGGCGATCCAACCGAGGCAATGAAGGTTTGGTCGGGATAGATTGAGCTTTCTGTGGTGGCCGATGCAGTCGCAGTCGACGTCGTGTGATGTGGCGTGTGAAAGACGGCAATGGGTGTTGTTGAATGGAGGAGCTTCGGATGGCTGCGAGCAAGCTTAGTGGTGTAAGGGTGGGAGAGCTTCTGTCGTAAGGCAGTTCAGCCTGGTGACGCTGGTTGCAGTTACCTGGAAGGTGCGCTCTAATTGGGTCCCCTGCAAATACACTGTAGCTGGCTGCGGCCCCACCACAGACTTCCTGGATGAGTTAGATAGCCTGTGTGATAGGTGCCAGGTTGGTGTCGATCACGTCCATATGCTGGACCCTCAGCAAAAGGAGAAGCAGTTGTTGAACCATTGTCTATCCTAAATCAGGGACCTACCTACCGAAGTGTAGAAACGACTACAAATTAACCTGTTCCAGAGGAAAGTGCAATAATTCCTTGCTTGAGAAAAAGTTTCAAAACTACTTTCTCACAGGATATTGGATCTCGTGACAAATCGCACAGGCTAGGACCAGCAAACGGCCCAGGGTCTCTTGGATGGTCCAGTTCGTCTTACATAAGTCACCATCTATCAGGTTGTTTAGTTTGTTTACTTTCTTTGGCGTCAGCCACTCACAACAAAGCCTCTAGCTACTCTTGGCCTCGACATCCTCCACGCTCTCGTCGCGACCCGGCACGTTATTTCCATCGACAACCGCCATCGCACCTTATCCTTCCTCACAGATCACGAGAGCAAGATGGCTCCTGCACGAACGAAGAAAAGATCCTCCGACGAGATGGAAGAGCCTTCGACGCAGAGACGGACAGTGCCCACAAAGACGGGCACACCCACAATGCTGAGCAGCAGTCCGAGCAAGAGGCAAAGAATTGGAATCACTCTGGAGCAAAAGCAGGCCATTATTGACAATTTGCAACTCGAGAGTAAGTCTGAAAACATCTGTTGGTGGGAGGACGCGTCTTCTAACCGTCCCAATAGTTACCGATCGCGCCAGAAGACTACGTGCCCAATACAACCAACAGGCCCAGACTCTTCGATCCCGCATACAGATGCGCGTCAACCGAGTCCCCAGATCGATGCTCAAGATGACTATGGCCGACTTGGTAGCTAGGGCCACCGAGCAGCAAAAACGTCTCGAGGCAGCTTCGCGACCGCCTCCAGTGCCTGAAAAGGACTTCCCGCCACGGACGAGCCCCCACAAGCTGGCCCCCCCGGGACGATCTACCAAGCGATTGAGGTGCGTTCTTGTTGTTTGACGATGATGACGGAGACGGACGCTGATTTCGATTGACAGTGATGCCATGGCTGGTGGAGACAAGGAGAACGAACAGATCGTGAACCCGAAGAAGAAGCATCGTGCAGGCCCACCGCCTACCACTTTGAGCTCGTCTCAGATTCTGTCTCCAACCTCATCCAATACACGATCAGTCATTCGTGAACGACCCCCATCATCGCCTTCGAAGGCTCAATTTGGCCGGCCTCAATCCTCTCCTGCCAAACATCACAACAGCGCTCGTTCGGCGCTGTCTAGCATGGTTGAGAAGGCAAAGAAATCCAGTCGTGCGGGTCCTTCACGCGCCTTGGCATCTTCTACAACCAGCTCTAATGCTTCAGCGCCTGTCAACCCATCAGCACCTGCAACCACCAGGACGAAGCGAGCCAACACAACTACTGCAACAAAAGCACCCCCACGGCCTGCCACAAGGACAGGTAAACGAGTCAGTGACTCAAGTGAGGGCAGCACGGGGACTGTCGTGAAGAAGACTGCTGCTGCTGCACCCGCTGCGACGACCAAGAGGACCGTCATGGGCACGATCAGAAAGGGCGTCGGTGCTGCTACGGCCCGGAAACCAGCGGCCCCCAAATCAGTAGCATCTACGACGGGTTCGACGAGGGTGTTGCGTAAGAGAGCGTAGAAACCCACGCACATGACGGAGTTAATTAGTCGGTTCTGTGATTTTATCGGCATTGGGAATATTTGCAGGGCGCAAAGGGGGGTAATCGCTAGTGTCAGGTTTATGGCGTCTTGGAATGGGTAATGATTGCGAGACATGACGGTCAAGCACAATTCAATTGATACATTATGCCCCTCCTTTGGTGCAGCCCACTACGAGCTTGCCTTCTTCTTCTTGTCCTCCACCAGCTCAATATTGTCCTCGGGTATCTCCTTGTACTTCTCCAGCAAAAACTCCTCAATCTCGTCACTAACATCACCCTGCACAACGATCTCCTCGCCACCGCTTGGGGTCTTGGTGACGGATGAGCCAGTAGCGAACTTCTTCCCAAACTCCTTGGCGACCTTCTTGTTTTCGAGTCCAAAGTGCTCCAGACCGGAGACGGACGTAACGAACTTCCTCTTGTTACGTTCAATTCTCTTGATGATGACGGTGCTCTTGGCAATCTTGTCGGCGTGCTTCGCCTCGGCCGCCTCAGCCTTAGCAGCCTTCTTCTGGGCGTCCTTCGCAGCTCGCTTCTGGGCGTCTACAGACAGGGACGCGGTCGCTTGTTCGAGGGCCTCTGTGACAGGAAGTTTCAGTATCACGAGATTATGGCGTCCGGTGATGCGGGGTCCATACCTGCAGACCAGATTTTCGCAAACATCTCAGGCTGGTTCTTCTCGAGCCAGTCCTGGCACTTCTTCACGGTGCCTCCATATTCGCAGTACTACATCGAGGGACGTGGGTGAGCATGTCGAAAACTTGAGGGGTGGCGATCGTCTCGGAGCGTACCTCGGGGGGGAGAGTGCAGACTGGACGTGGGGTAAAGCAGGTCAGAATTCGCACCTTGACTATCATTGGGATGCGCTCATGACTTACCGCCGCAATAGATTACATGGCGGCCTTGAGGCTCGCCTGAGGACTCTGCATTGTCGGCCATTACGTTTGAAAGGGCCGGGGCAGAAAGAGGGGAATTGCTTGCAGAAGTGTCAAGCAAAGAAGTTGAGGACGGTAGACGCGTGCCTCCGTCTTCATCCAAGGACGGCCGACTGCGGGGTTGACCTGAATCCATGGATGGCGGGGCATTTATGCACCGCCACGACTGCCTACCTACCTCAATATTCCAGGTTACCTTAGGTGATGAGTGTGGCTGGAGTCCTGAGCCACCTGCCCGAGCCCCGCTGCCGACCGCGTCGCCCAGGGTCATATGAGGTGTCCATGACAGGTATGCCCGCTTACCTCGGACAACTATCATCCATCAACACAAGCTGCGAGTGCTGGAACATGACGTGGCGCGCTCACCTTTGGCAGGCATTGTGTCCGTACTGATAGCACCGAATCTCGAGGGTATCATCTAGAGCCTCCATCTCGTCAGACTCCATCTCGTCCTACTCGAGAGAACCCGGTGACGACGACAATTGCACCGTTAGCATCTTCGAGAACTTCGACGCGCCTCACGAATCCAGAAATCAAGACCGAGAGTTCATCAAATTGTTGCATGATGAGTTTGAATGAACTCCATGCGCCAGTCAATAGTTTGCTCTCCGCAAGGCCAGTACAGAGGCCATTTTGACTTGCCATGCAGGTTGGCCGAGTGGCCCGTCTCCAATCGACGACGCTTCTAAGCGCCGGCCAGTGTCTGACACGTTCATTGGTCGGTGGCTCGACTTGCCTGCATTCCCAATGAGCATCGCTCCCATCCCCCGCCTCCCGAATTCGCGCGCGCCAGCCAGTCGCGGCTCACCAAGCCCATGCAAGATTTCTGTGGTCCAAAATTAGACACGGCTTTCAGCTCGCTGATTGGGCCGAACCTTTGCTCATGGCTCAATGCAGTAGCTCTTCGAGATGGAGATGGGCTCGTCGTCTTTCCATCACCGCCTTCTCGCCATCTCAGGCGCCGGCAGCACATCCCCATTCGGGTCAGTGCAGCCTTTTCCAGCAGACGCGCTGCATGGAAGTGCTACTCCGTGAACGCATCTCTCCGGAAATGCTGTGCTGTCCCTCCGTCTTAGTCGCACCCAGCATGCCACTGCCCCATTGTATGTGTGCGTGTGCGTGTAAGCCAAGGCAGCACAGTTCGCAACCCACTTGTGTGGCCACCATGTTAGCCGCCTCCCGCCATGAAGACGCAAGGTCTCGTGAGGCTATATCACTCGCTGCCGGCCAGCCGCCGCCTCCTCTCCTTTCCTCTCTCGCTCTCCCATCTTTTCGCGCCGTTGTTGCTATCGCAAGTTGTTGAGGGCTTCGTTGATCGAAGCAGCCTGTCGTTTACACGAGCTTTTTCCTTCCTAATTTTCACGCCGACGCCGGTCGTCTACCGACGATCTGCCTGTACAGAACGTCGCATTTTGCCTATATTTATACCGTTACAGTACATCGACCCGCAAGTCTATATCAGGATATCTGACTGCATAAGGGAAGATGGCTGAAAACGTTCAACTTCAACCATCAACATACAGACCTCCCTCGCCTTCGCAGGCTCGAAGGGCGGGGAGGTCACTTAATACTATAATGGAGGAAGACACGGACGAGAATGAGGTCGTCCAGTATGCCACAGACAATAGGCTACTCCGGCATCCCTCATCGAACCTCAAAATTGAAGCCTGGTTGTCACCGTTGAGCGACCACTTCCCCACCCCACGAGGCTTTCACTTCCTTTCCGCACCAATATTACCCTCGTCACCGTCCAGTAACTCGAACGAAGAGGCGAGCTCTCCCTCCACCACCTCGAACCCCTGGAATAATAACCGAACGAGCGTGATGACGGACGTCACCGAGTTCGACGATCTGTACGATGTTAGTGATGAGGACGTGCAGCCGGCATTCCGACGAGTGCCCTCGCGAAAATCGTCAATGAGGAGGCTCAACTCGGCTCGCAATGAGGCGCCAAAGGAGGCGACGACTGGCGCTCGTAGAGCTTTGCCTCCTCTGGTGATTCCCGCGGGACGAAGTTCATCCACGGAGGATTGGTCTGCCGGGCTCAAGAAGACTCTAGCATCCCCAGTGCCGCCGACGCCGCCAACCCGTGTCGAAATGTCTCCTGCTGTGGTCTCGTTCATGCAGGCTCAACATGCTCAGGAGGTGCCTACCATCTCCGCCCCGCCGTCGTTGGATGGAAGTCTGAGTTCAGAACAATTGGCTCAGATGTCAGCCCCCCCGACTCCAATTATCGGTAGTGAAGGTGGTGGAAAGGAAGAGGAGGATTGGTCTGGTGTCAGACTCCAACCTGGCGCTCTCGCAACTCTACATGCTCTGTCTGGGGATGGCGACAGCTTGCACGAGCATGAAGATGTCGCTGGACAGGTGATTGAGATCCCGCAGGAACCCGTCTCCGAGATGCGCCAGCAGCCCTTGCGAATCATAACCAACCTGCGGCCTCGCCCGGCGCGCGTTGCGGAGCTTACCCCTAACACCCATCGTCGGTCTCTTGCCGACCTCACCAAGCTCGACATCCCGTCCCCCGGCGGTTTCTTCTCTGGCCTCTCGCCCAGAACAAGAACAACATGGCACATGCCTTCGAGATCTCCCGAAGACATGGTGCCGCCGACGTCTACTACTGCAGAGCAGTTCTACCGCTGCCCCTGGAATGTGGACGCGTCCGTTCCTCCGGTACCCGTTGCGCCGGCCAGGTTTGTTGCCAACCATCTCAACGACTCCAGCGAGTCTATTGAGCAATTTTACCGCAACTCCCTACCATCCCCTCCCTTGATCGTTGAACAGGTTGTGGAGATCAAGGATGAGGTACCGGACGAAGACGATATGCCCACTGCCAGGCCCATCGTCCCAGCGGTCGTCTCGACCTCATCGCTGACTTTGGCCGAGCCGATCTCACCAGACCATGAGGATGCGCCGACAGAGATTGTCACGGCCTACGATCCCGAGTATGCTCGCAAGCAGCAGGAGGTCGCACTGTCTAACCTTGACCGCACTGAGATGTGGCTTCTGGCTCAACGCGCCTATCTCAAACCAGTAGAGGTCGAGGACAGCGGCGATGATAGCGGCAAAAATCTTGACACCATCCCCGAGGTTGTGGACGAGGACGCCGATAGCTTGCCGGAACCCGAGACAGCCATGCCGCCAAAGAAAAAGACCGTTCGCTTCTCTGAATTCGTAGCCAAGACGAATATCCCATGCCGCCTGCCATCGAAGCTTCTCAGACAGGAATCCGCTTACTATCGCGCCTTCCAGGACTATGTCATCCGCTCGAGCAAGCAAGACGTCTTTGTTCATCAGCTTCCGCGGTTCGAAGCTCTACAAGCCCAGCGAGTCTGTCTCCGGGAATTTCATCGCAACCAGCTCCTCGGCAAGTACCAGCTCAGCGTCGTGCCCCAGTCAGCCAAGAAACGTCTCAGTGCCAACGTCGCCCGCGGCGACGACATTCTCATTGACGACCCTGAGAAGATCAAGCGCGAGAAGGAACATGAAGCCATGTCCCAGATGGCCATCTCCACATGGCACGTAGCCGCTATCAGGATGCTCAACGGCGGCAAGCTCATTTCGGCACCCGTCGCAAAGCGCCTTGCACGCGTATCCCGCATGGCTCCCGGTCGCGATGGCGTGGCGCGCGACAGGGCTCGCATTCTTGATCTCGGCGGTCAGTCAACCTGCGACTGGGCGTGGCACTGCGCACTTCAGTATCCCAACACGAAGATCTACACCGTCACCACCAAGACGATCCGCCAGCTGTCCAACTCCAACATCCGAGGCCCGCCCAACCACCGCCAGGTCGCCGTCGAGAGGCTTACCCGCCTCCCCTTCAAAAACGACCAGTTCGATCTCATCTCGGCGCGCGAACTTCACAGCATCCTCAAGTTTGTCGGCGAGAACGGTGAAGACGAGTGGGAGACGTGCCTCAAAGAATGCATGCGCGTTCTCAAGCCAGGCGGCTACCTCGACTTCTCCGTCCTCGACTCGGACATCATGAACGCGGGGCCCTTGGGTCTGGCCAAGAGCGTCGAGTTCGGCTTCGACCTCAAGACCCTGGGATACGACCCCAACCCTACAAAGATGTTTCTCGGCCGTCTTTCTCGCGCGGGTTTCGACGAGGTCCGCCGCGCGTGGATGTGCCTCCCCATGGGGGCGCGACCCCCGTCGCTGCAGCAGGGCAAGCCTCTGCCCTCGCTTCCCGTTCGTGACAGCCCAACAGGCGAGGAGGTGCGTACAGTGACCATGGAAGCCATGTTGACGGGCAGCACCGACGGCATCGCGAACCTAACGGGTATCGTCGGCGGCTGGAGCTGGGAGCGCTGGCTATTGCGTTGTGAGATGGAGAAAGTCAGCGGCGAGCTGCGGCTCGCCGACACGGTGACAGACGGCGCGACCATGAGGGAGGCTGGTAAGAGTGTCGAGGGTGTTGCGGCTATAGTCGAGGAGGGCAGGAGCTGCGGAGCGGGATGGAGGATGCTGAGCGGGTACGCGAGGAAGCCCAAAGCTGGCACCGGTTTCATCTCGGTTGGTATCGCAGAGTAGACGGGTGCCCGGGCTGGCAAGCCTGTGCACCAAGACCTTCTGTTCTTTGCTCGTTTTTCATGTTTGTTTACTGTGTGTGATTGCAACGATATGGATGAGTAGGACTTGACGGGATAGGACGAGATGGATGTAGGTTATGACTATGGGTCACATGTACATATCGATGACATACGGGATTTAATTGCATGGGTGCTTGCTATAGGCAACATTGAGGCGCTGAAGGCTCGGACGAAAACGTTGGTCTGGTGCGTGCAATGCTGACGTTGAATGCAATCTGGTTTCTGGTAACGATCTTGGTGTTCCGTTTGGAGAGGCAAGATGATCTCAAAATCTGCAAGGCATGACTGACGGCACGCGGACGATGAATGACAACAGTATTTCTTGAATCGTTTGAGGCCGTTTTGGCCCTTTGGTATCGTATCATTAAGTATTGTGCTGAAGCCAAAGGTATCGCAATTAGATCAGAGGGTATTTGGGGAATAATGATTCCGATCCAACTTATACATGACACCAAAACAAAAAATCAACTCTTCTACCCAACTCCGGACCGTCGCTATGGGTTGGTATCCATCTTTTCGCCGAGAGGGGATGCTTGTTTCACGTTTATGGTATCACTGTCGCCTGCTCTCTCCCTCTCCTCCATGCCGGACGACGTCGAGGGTAGCAGCGACGAGTCTCTGGGTGTCTTCGCCGACGAAGGCACAATAACATTAAGAACGCAATCGTCCAGATGCTCGTAGAATTCCTGAGCCGTACCGAAGAAGCCTTGGCAAATAGAGCATTGAGCACCATCCCCGCGAACGTTGCCGGATCCGCTGATGATAAGCTTCCGGCTGTTAGGAGGTGTTTGCTCCACGTTGTGGACTGATGTCAGGTGCCGCTTGAAGACGTCGGCTCTGTTGAATGCCTTCTCATACGCGGTTCCCACTCCAGGGCAAAAGGGACAGATCATTGTACCTTTGTAATGCGTCAACGCATGCCGGTTCTTGTCGTACTTCCTGGCGAACCCCTTGGTGTGGTATTCGCAAGTCTCGATGGGACACTTCTCCGGCCGTTCCTCCTGATGCGTGAGCATGTGCGCCGCAAGATCTTTGAAAACCCTCCCGCAATCAGGGTGAGGGCACCGTGTGCGATTGTCAACAGTCTTGCTAGAAGGACTACTCAGTTGCGACGGGATCATCGGTTCCGCAGGGGCTATCAGCAATGGCACTGACGAAGGAGCTGCTGCGATCATCGGTTGGCCAAATGTCGGAGAGCGAGCCGGTGGCGGTGGAGGCGGTAGTGCTTGTGTGAAATACTCGGGTGGTGGCTTGTAGTCGACCTCCTCCCCTCCACTGGAATCGTCATTGTCCTGAATATCCACGGATTGCCGTACTTCCCGCATCCAATCCTTCAAAATGGTCATTGGAGGCCAATCTCCGCTGGCTTTGCCGCCCCTGTGAGGATTGAAATGGGCTCTGCGGAGGTGTGCCGCTGCGTTATAATAGGCTCCGTATCGCTTCTGTGTGACGCAAGCTTTGCATTTTGACAGAGGAATGACCGGCTGCGGGAGTGACGAGTTGTAGTTGTCCGGTTCGGTGCAAACCCAGCGCTTAACTAGGGCGGCATGTTTGGCATCAGTATGCCTCCTTAACTCGTGTTCGCCTCTAAACCCCTCGGGATACTCGTTGCATTTTATGCAATAGACTCGACGTAAGGGAGGTCGTTGGTACGTTTGGCGTCCTCTACCTCCTGTAATTGGCGACTCCAGGGATCTCATAGGTCCTCGAGGAAACGTCGGGCTCTCTCCCACTGTGTGCCGACGGCCTAAGGGATCTATTCCCTGAGGAGAAGTCAAATACTCCAACCCTCCTCCAGCGAACGGGTCTCTGTCAGAGAGCGGGGCCGGATTCGGTATCCAAGGGTCGCCCAATGCTCGAGGATCGTGCATGGGGCGTTTCGGTTCTTCGCCATGTTGGATCGGGGGCAAGATCAATGGGCCGGTCCTTGCGGGCGTTCTTTGTCTGAGAAATCCGTTAAAGGGGGTGCCGGCTTCCGCGTCACCGTCTCCGAGATGCATCAAGAAGTCCCGAGACGACAAGAAACCTTGCTGTGCCCATATTTCCTTGCGCATGACCATTTGTAAAGAATCAACTACCATCCTGTCGTGCTCGTCTAAGTCGTAAGTCTGCTCATCAAGTAACATCGGCGCGGAGCCAATGAAGAGACTGACCAATAGCTTGTAGACACTGTGCATCACGGGCACGCCGCTGGCTCCTCTCCATGCCGCTGGCATTTGGTTCGATTGGCGTCGTGGTAGACATGACGCGATATCAACCAAGATTGTCCGAACCACGCTGAAGATACAAAGCGCGATGAAGGTAGCAAGCCAAAGTTTTGCGTCTTGCGGTCCCTTCCTCAGCGTAGCTCCTTCGAAGGCCTGAAGAAACTGCGACATGCAATTGTACAGCAAGCGATAGTGCGCGTCGTGGTCAATCTCGTCGGCAAACGGTAGTCGATGAGGCGGCCCGCCGTCTAGTCGAATGGATGGCTCGGGTTGCTGAAGGTCCCAAAATATCACTTCTCGTAACAGCAACTTTGCTCGATGTAAGACAGGAAATGCGGTCTCTTCCACATCTCTTGTCGCCGCCATCAGTCCGCTCGTTTTCAAGAGATGAAGAAAATTGTATGATGTTCCTCCGCCATTCCAGCTCGCTGTCAAAACACTAAGGATCGGCGGAGGTCGTTCGAACGCTTCCCTTGAGTAGTTCGAAAGGGCGGTGTTGGTCAGAGGAAGATTGGAAAGCTCCTCTGTCCACCAGAAGCCATCGTCATAATCGAGGTTCGCCTTCACGGCGTGTAGTATGTCTGGAGATATGCGATAACTGTTTTCAAGAAGCTCGTTCATGCTCCTCCTCTGAGCAAGGGGCGACGTTACGGGAGTCTGAGTTTGTCTGGGAGACACAGGTGCTATGTACTATTAGATTCGAGAAGATGCGCTCCATGCAGGGGGCGACTGACCTGGAAGTAACATATCGCAGAAGGCGTCTAGAGGCCCACGGTGACAACCGATGGCTTTCCAAAAGTCGCTACTGGGACTCATGGGTTGGTCGGCACAGTAGTAGCAAGGCTCGCTCGAGTCACACTGGAACTCGTTAGTGACTTTTGGCCAGCCTTGTGTCAAGCTCGACATTCTTACTGGCTGCTTGGCTACCATACAACGCAAACAGGGCCCAGACTCCTGAAGTAGCCTGAGCTCACCAATGGACTGGAGACGAGATTGTCCAACCCTGCTGCGCTTTAAGGGCGGAAGTAAAGGGTCTACTTCGGAATCGACAGAACCTCTCCCTGCAGACTGTTCACCAGCAAGCGAATATGACTGCAAGGTGTCGCGCCGATCTTTCGGTTGACTGGTGGTCGCAAGCGGTGCTAGCTGCGCACCAGTCGATGGCTTTGGGAGCTGTAACGATAGCGGCTGTTTCCCCGTATCAGAGCCCCATGGTCGCGAGGTTGCGTATTCTGAGAATGGCAAAGGTGGTGTGTTGCCAACCGACATGCCCGAATCCCTGTGAACATGCACGCTGTGCTCCCGTGCATGGCTGTCTCGGTCTTCCTTGTTGTAGAAGCCATAAATGTAATGTATACAACGTTCGTCCCAACACTTGAATGACGATGCAGACCGAGACGAAGGTGACAAACTGTCTCTCATCCTCCATCCGCGGACAACCGGGTCGTAGTTGGCTAGATTGCGATCGAGCCAGACTGCGTATCCTACGGGGGCTTCGTCGTACAGCGATCGCTTCAACGCGTCAACCATGTTTGGATCTGCCAAATCGTGACCTGTCAAGGTCAGAATCCGAACTATGAGTAGTGCGGGGAGTGACTCTGGGTGAGTAGCTACCTACCTTGCTCCAGACAGGCAGTTTCGATGCACTCACACCGATACTGCAGTGACCTCGCCTCTTCGTGCTCAGAGACGACGGGAATACTAGCGGATATGTCTGAACATGAGCCATACGGTTAGCAAGGATTTCATGACGATTTAGAGAGTGTAACAAACGGTGGTGATCGGAGTAGGCCTGGAGAACCCGCAACTTGTGGCGGAGCATATTCAGCTCCAACCTGGCGTTAGGACCATACTTGGTGGGTAGCAAGGCGGCAAGCCTTGCTTGGATATCGGCTTGCTGATCAAGGAGCTGCCGGATGGTGCTGTCGACGGCCGGGTCGGGAAGGTTGTGAGGATCGGCCGCCATTCCTCCCGAGCCTAGAGGGCGTCCTCCTCCAGCCGACGACGCGGACACTTTGAATGTTCTCGGTCTCGGGGCAAAACGTCGTCAAGTAATAGTGATAACAGGAGGCCAAGTCGTTCTCGCTACCTTTGGGAAGGGTCGCCAAATCATACAGTGCTTCGAGTGTGTGCATCAGAAGTTCGCTTTCGAGGGCTAGACCATGGTTATTTTCAGAAAGGTTCCGGGTACACAGGCACTGCCAGAGCCATTAGTTGTCGGCGCAGACGCAGAAAGCCCAGTCGAGTTTGTTGTTATACGAAGAGTCGCGATTGTTCTGGTTGGTTGTTGTGGCGTCGTGTAAGGTGGGAATGGACAGGACACAAGATAGCTGGGTTCATCGCTTTTCAAGAGCGTGAGAACGCCCCCGTAGTCTGGATCCCTTGCTTGCTTCTTTCCCGTCCGCCGCTGATCGCTCTCTAGGGCAGATGAGAGATTTGCCTTTGGCGTCTTTGGGGTCTGGATATTTGCCTCCTGCTTGGCCGGGGGGGTTTGCAGGGTCTGGAGCGAGGTGAAGCGAGGCAAGGTACTGTGGGCAGGACAGGTCGAAAGTTCTCTCTTGGACTGAGGTGAGGTGCACAGCAGAGGGCGGCGGCTCGCTGGCCGTCGAGCGGGACCGAATCGGAGCAGGTCCAGTTTCCAGTATCCAACTCCCAATTGCAAGCCTGCTGCTGGGGAATCTCGTCGAAGTAGGATGGATGTATGCGGTCTCCGGTCTTGTTTCCGATCCAAGCTTTGTCCTCTCCAGTGCTCCGTATCTTGCTTGGGATTCTGTTCGTATCCTTCTCCGGGACGAAACCGACGAGTCCTCAGACTGATAAGTCAATGGAAGGCAGAGCGAGGAAGGGGAGAAGGGAGCAAAAGGGAAAGAAAATTTCTGAAAATTAAAATGACGCGGAATTCGCTCCAGCGATTCTGTGGTTCGCATAGGTGGTATTGGATAACAGGACCGCACCGTACCCGACCATGAACACACTGCTGGTCTCGTCCTCCTCCCTCATTGGGGTGATAGCTCTTTTATTAATAACAGGCAGGGTTGATTTGGGGAAGTGGGGCGAGTGGCTAACGGCGTTGATTAGGTAGATAGACGACTGGCGACGGGAGCTTCAAGCAGTGGTCACAATGGATTGGGCTAGGGGAGGGGGGACACTGATGGGAATGAATGGATGTGTGTGTCGTGAGGTGGTGTGCATGCGTGTGGATGGGGGAAGGTAAACGGGGAACGGGGGACGGGGGACGAAGGACGGGGGACGGGATTGTGGAAAGATAGAATTGGATGCTGCTTTTTGGAGGGGGTGTACATTTCACATCGGACATGGAGGCTGCGGTCCAACAACTTGGACTGAGGAACGACTGAGGAACGACTGAGTGACTACCTTACCATGGCCCAACGTGCCTTGCTTTACGAATACCTTCGTGCTATTCCCCATTTACCTTGCAGTAAAAGGAGGGACACACACGGAGAGAGAGAGAGAGAGAGAGAGAGAGAGAGAGAGAGAGAGAGAGAAAGAAAGAGAGCACTATGTGTGAGATGAATAAGATGAGGTCCTGGTGGAAGTTCAAGCGGCGACAGGTCCGGCCAGGATCCAGGAAGGTGACCGTACACCGGACCGCGCAGGATGGATGAGGTGAGAAGGTACGGACGGGCACTGTACTTACCTGAGGTGTAGTAAGGCAATGGATAACCTGGAAGGAACCTACCTTACCTCAAGGTAAGGATGTCCGGCCGGTTGGCTTGCTTGGGAACCTAGCTACCCGCATATTACAGTAAGGTATCATTTACTGGTAGGTATTCAAGTATTTTTCCTCTTCATCTTTCCCGTCCTTCTGGACATCGTTGATTTCTACCAGTCATCGGTCGTAGCTTGACGGCCCTAGCTCCGGTTGAGGGTCTTGCAATATTGCACTTACGTCTTCTTTCTCCTCCTACCTCAAAGTACTTTACGTACCCAGGTGCGACGGGACGGGAGCTGCTTTGCCTGCCTCGGGCTGGCTCTTTTGTACCCGTACAGTGTCTGCTGGTCCTATCAGTCTGTCTAACGGTTCTAACCAAGCCACAGTTCATCGTACCTACCTACCTTACCACCGGGGCTAAGGTACCTAAGGTAGCTTGAAGCGAGATATGCCCGCAGCGATATCGCTTCCATCTTTTTTTCCTCTCGCCTTTTCGCCTTCCATTTTCGCCTTCACCTTCCTTCCATCCATTTCCCATCTCTACCGCTTCATGATGGTTTTTTCTTTTCTTTTTTCGCCACGGAAAACCCCTTGACCTTGCGTCTACCTACCACGGATTCTCATCATTCGGCCCATCCCTATTCAGGCACATCGGTATCCTTGAGAAGAGGGGCCTTTCGGTCCCAAGTTTGAGATGCCGGCACGAATACCGGGGCCGTTGCGGATGTGCATGCCACAAACACTCGTCTTGTTGGTCATTTTGTCGTATCAAATGCCTGCCGGCCATCGTCGCCTCCTTTACGCTGCTTGACGCTGTGCCTTGTTCGCTGCACCGGCCGGCCAAGCAGGAAATCTGTCGACCATGCATACGCATATCCGTACACTGCTCTCCATTCTCGCCAACGACGGGACTTTCGACCATTCTACGCTACATGCAGAGTACAGATGATGTCCCCAAATTCCCCTCTCAAACACGCCTGCCGCCCTGTGAGAGAGCTCGGCCGTCATCCGACCGATGTTTATCCCAGGGTCCCGATGTACCGTCACCGTACCTGCGCGTCCGATCCGCCCTCGAACCCAGAGCTAGAGACTGGAGACTGAGATACCTGACCTGGTTTGCTTTGCCTCGCCGTGCCTCATCTGCGTCGCCGCCTGTGTCTTGCTTCCGTCTCCCAGCCGGCTCGTCTGGTGCTCTCATCCACTCGCCGCCTCGAAAGTCTCCTTCACCCCTCTTACATACGACCGACACAGTCTCCGACCTACCTTAGACTAGGTGCTTGCCAGAGTCTTTTGTATACATACACGCGCCTCCTCCCCACCGACCACCTTCGCAACGACCACGTTCAATTCTCGAAGCAAACAAGGCACACAAGCATGGCATCAAGACGAAAGAGAAGAAGAAGCTGGCCTCGCACGCCTTGCGCTTCTTATCAGCTACTACTTCGGCCCTACCTCGCCCGTCAGAATGCTGTGGACCATTGCTGGACCGTACCGCCATCCAAATCGCACAGGTCATGGGCCGGTAGGCAGGTATCTCTGTTGTAAACACCTCCCGGACCCTGTCATCTAGCATCCCACACCCCCGGCTCATCCCAGCTTCTTCCCTACCTCGTTACATTAGCCACTTGCTTGGCTGCTTAGCTCGTTCGCTCTGCTGGCCAGCTCGCGACGACAACCGCCTTTGCACTCTGCTTGCCGCTGCCGTGCCCGCAGCTCGACTTTCGTATGTCCCAATGATGACTGCGACAGTACATCTCGACCTCAATGTGCTGCAGACGGGGCTTCTCAGGGCAAGTTGCAGGGAACCGATGACCGTTGCATACTGCGGTAGGTATTGGAGGGGGTGGGTGGTCAGCGGCCGCAGACACACTCAATCGCTCGTCTTTCACTCTTTCACAACAAGCCTGCCTTCCAGCACCTTCAGCACGCGCCCCCTCAGCTACTCCCCTTGTCGTTGATAGGTAGGGAGTCCTGGCCGGCTCGAGTCTTTACCGCTTAATTCCCGCCCAGAAAAGTGGAGGTGCTGAGAGAGAGGCGAGCAGAGAGATGCGTTTGGACGAGTGAGAGCCACGGAGAAACAAACCAGAGGACCCAAAATGCTGTGTCCAACGTTCATGGGGCCCAGCAGCCTGGGCGTGGGTATGAGTGTTGGCGTTGGCATCAACGTCAACGTGGGGCCGTTTGGCTTGCGCCCTCTCCGACTCTCCGACCACCGGCCGCAGTCTACAATAAGCCAGACACAGGTAGAGAAAAAAAAAAGGGCTGAGTAGGGGATAACACCAGACGAGACAAGGTCAAACGGTCCCTGAGCTTCAATGTCTGTCCGTTGCGTCCGTCCTGTCTATTGCACGTCCGGATTTATTTCGAGCCAACCCGTCCGCTTCTTGCTCGAGTGTTGACGTCTGTCACCTCCATACTGGCAGCGCACAAACGACGGCGCGCCGCCCCTCCTCTTCTTGATGCAAGGCTTCAGCTGGCAAGCTATTCATGTCGACAGGACTTGACCATCGGCGTGGGAATATGAATGATACAGCCGGTATCGCGCATCCCGGAGCCGGTCGCCTTGGCCATGCTTCCCTGTTAGGCAAATCTGCTCGCTGCTGCGCAGTAGTTCGAGCTTCCACATGTTGGGTTTTCTCCCTGGCTGGGACGGTTCTCGAAGCATCACGCAACCGCAGGGGAATCCTTCCGCGGGTAGGAAATTACGACATTTGCGCCCTTCGCTCGTCTTCTTTGCATCAGACCTAGCACACCAGCTGCCCTCTGCCACGAATTGCGATAGGATACTCTGGACAGTGAGGAGTCTGCTCAGTATTCTCATCGCTCTCCGAGTTGCTGTGCTGCGCTGCGCTGCGCTGCGCTGTTCTCAGGTATCCCCGCCGTATGTGTGTGCCGCGGCGATGGAAAGAACCCTTGCAATGCATCTCCATCTCCAGATCCACACCCACCCCGCTTACTCCCACGCCCACACGGACCAATGCTCCACGTGGGCCATAGAGTCCGTGGTACGATGATGGGGGCCAGTCCCGGCAGAAACAAGCATGTGCCGAGTCACCGTTACAACCTGCAGATAGCTGCTGCAGGCGAGGTCGAGGAGAGCCACATCCACAGCTACAGCTACCCAGTTCAAGAAGGTAGAGCTTAAAGCAGCGAGAAGCGCGCGAAGCTCTGCATCATTCGTCACACGGCGCATGGAGTCGGGCCAGGCCTAGCATGCAGTCACCTCAGTCGCCAAGGATCGAGGTGAGAGCAGCGGTTGGCCGACGTGCTCGGGAGTTCTTCCCATACCCTCTGTTCCCTCTTTAGTCTTTGGACGGAAGTCAAAAAGTCATCAACAATCGAGACGGACGGAGAAAACAGAGGGACAAGAGGTATGTATCCATCTGTATTAGACGTCACACGATACTGTCTTGGACACCGCTCTTCTGCACCATATCCGTCCCGATATCCAACTTGTATCTCGGGTCGTCGACACCAAAATCACAACGTACATGTCAAGCCGAAAACAATCAAGTGATGGTCAACTAGCAGGTCGGACGTCGGCATACCTCATGGAATCTGAAAGGGGACTGCTACACAGTTTGTAAGGGGTTCCAATTCACTGAAGGAGGGCGGCCAGGCACAGAAGGTTTTCGACAATACTCAAATGTTCGCGGCATGAACTGCATACGCATCATGGATGTACCATGAACGCAGAAGTGCGCGTGCTCGTTTTTCGTTCGTCGCGACGCATATCCGCCAGAACGTAAAGACACCTTTCGGGTTCAGGATTCAAGGATACCTGTCAATCGAGACCAGCATTGATGGAAAGAGGGAAGAACATCGTGGAGAGTCCATTCATCCGTCGCTATGCTACACGTCCTTGCCGACATCTAGACGGCCAAATCCTGGCTGACGGGATAGACGGTAGTGCTCTTTATCCAGCTCTAGGTCAGTAGTTCCACACATGATTTGAATCGACGTCTTTCCCCCATTTGATTACCCTCAGATCATTCCCCTGCTTCGGTTCGGTTCGGTGGAGGGAGTTCACCCCCCCTTGAGAGTCCATTCGTCCTGAAGACGGGAGCCAGTAACCTGATGCTTACCAAGTAGGGATCATCTTACCGAACGTCGTATGTGTAAGGACGCATTTTGGATTTGGTACCCGACGCCAAGTGGCCTCCTCCGACACGACTGACCCAGACAAATATCGACAGCCTCGATTACAACCTGTGAGACGGGCGGGATTGGTTTTTCGAAGCTGTCCATCGGCCAGCCGTCACCCGTTGTTTCGATCTGCTCGTACCACGCGCGTCAGGAGCAGCACGGTTGGCCCAGCGGCTCATGCCTCCGAAACAAAACCTCTCCTTATGGATGGGATGGAAATGCCGGAACCGCTGCCCCATTCCCAGGTTTCCTGGTCCACGAGGTCCTCGTCAACCTCAACTTAACAACCTGCTCGGACTCCTCTCGTCAACCGGCTCAACCTACTTCACCACCGGCTGCCTCCCACGAAGCTACCTGACCCTCGGCTATCGTGGGTCACCAGATCTCGATGGAGACTGGGTTACAGCAAACCGAAGGTCTGCGTACGTGTCTGTAATATCTGCTGCTATATTAGACGGCATTACACTCAGCCCTAGGCAAAATACTTTTGATGGTGCCTTTACCTAGGCGTCATGGTCGGGGATACTTAGTGTGGCAGCCTTTCTCGGTAGTGTGTGTGTGTGTGTGTGAAGTTGCTTCCATTCCCTCTCTCACGCGCAGAATCTCAGCTAAGCCGATGAAGTACCGTCTCTTGATATTTCCAAGTGGGCGACGCATTGATAAATCAGGATGGGGCAGGCCCATGATCTAGTTGTCCACGTAAGGTAGGGCCGTCATACGGGTGGTCAGTGCAGAGGCTGAAATTAGGAATTGGGGATTGGAGAACAGGGGAGCAAAATTCACATGTGCTTGCAAGCTGATATATAGTAGCAGGCATACGAATTTGCGAGGCGTGTCGAGTTCCTTCTCGGCGGAACGGGGGCTTGGTGCTGCGATACCTGGCATTCTGAGTTGGAGGATGGATGTCTATTGATCTTTGTCCGCAAGTTTGACTCGTGGTAGGCAAGTCTGTACAACACATTCAATGCGCCGCATCGCAATCAGGGCGGCGTGGCTCGGTTTGTAATCCGGACGGACCCCTCCTCGACCGATCTCACACTCAATCTGTCCCTCCCCCCGTTCCAATCTGCCATGGTCGAAAACTGGTAAACAAATCTCTGGTTTTCTTGTCTCTCACGTCGTTCGTGATAGATGGTTGAATTGGTGCTATGAGAGAACCCCCGTCTAGTCCTTATAAACGCCCCGGAGCTCATTCCCGGCCTTCGTCGAGCTCATGTTGAATGACGCCGGCCCGTGTCGATATCATGCTTCGCTCCCGTCGATCCATTTCTGTTTCGCAGTTGAAGTTTATGTACAGAAATCCTTGCCAGAAACTCCCCGATTTGTGTTTTGTTTTGTTTTCCCTTCATATGCTGGATGCCCGTCATCAGAAGCCTCCTCAGGACGGGGAAGCCCGTCGTCACAATACCGCACCTCCTTACTCCACTTGTTCCCAACGTCGCTCACGCAGGGGCTTCTCCTTGCCGGCCGCAGCCCTGCTGCCATCCTTCTCGTCCTTCCAGGCCCAGTACTCCGCAAGCCGCGTCTCAGCGTACGACGCGTAGTCGAAGTCGATCTCCGAAATGACGGCCTGGATAAGGGCCCAAATGCCCCAGTAGAAGCCCGGGACTCCTCTGAACAGGTCGACCTCGTCATTCAGCTTTCTCACTTCGGCCTCGACGTCGACGTTCGGCTTGTCGCCCTGCAGAGTCTTGAAGTAGGCTCGGGTGTACTCGTCGATGAACTCACGGCGCTGGGTTCGACTGGGCAGGACGTTGTAGTCGCAGTCGAAACCTCCCCACTCGGCGAAGTGGTTTGCGATATCGAAGGCCGCGGGGGACGGGGTCGCGTACTCGTAGTCGATGAAGGTCACCGACACTTGGTCCTTGGCGCCGCTGGCGGCGTATGTTGTAGGTAGCACGATGACGTTACCGCTCAGAAGATCGCAGTGGGCGAAGACGAGCTATACACGGTGATGGTCAGCCAACGCTCGCGCAGTGCATGAAACGTCGTGGCGAGTATATCTTACCCCGTCGACCCCCAAGCCAGGGCGCTGACTTAATTCCTCCACCAGACATTCCAGTTCGTGCTGGAGCTTTTCCTGTCGCTCCCTCTGCTCTTGGGTATCTGTTGGTAGCGCCAGGATCCACTTCTGCATGACGGTCCAGACGTTAGGGACCGGTTTTCCAGGGGCTACATTCTCGATGATATCCTCCCGGTTTTGTTCTTCGTTCGCGCCCTTCTCCTTAGCGTGGCCGTTTGCCGACGTCGGATGGGTGATGCAGGGGACGGTCGCGTGCCATTGCGCCAGGCGTCTGGCAACGGCTGTGTAGATTGAAGGCTTTCTCAGGTCCTCGGGGGCTGTGACGCTGCCCTTGACGTAGCGGTAGAGCATTCCGTTCTTGAAGCGCGCGAGCAACTCGGGAGCGAGGCCGTGCTTCATGAGCAGCTCATGGTTCTGGGCCTCACGCTCACGGTCGATTAGGACGGCGGTGCCGTTGCCGTAGGCGCGCAACAGTATGGCTTCCCTGTCTACGTCCTCCTTGGACCATCCTTTCCGCTTGTTGATCGCCTTGAGAAGGGTGTTTGTGATGCCGTCGGTGAAGCGCACGAACTCGATCTTGTCGTCGGCGGTGTCCCAGTCTGGTCGAACAGTCAGGATTAAACGGGTCGCGGATTGCTGAGAATCTTCGCTGTCGTAGGAGAAGGGGAGGAATCGGACGTGAGCATTCGCCAACCCGTTAGGGTTGCCGTTGCTTGCACCCTGGGTCATGGCTTGGACCAGCACGGCGATGGTGGTGTTGGTAGTGGTGGTGGAGAGGGAGGAGTGTCGAGAGGGCAGAGACAATACCGACAGGTAAATTGTTCCTTGGAAATTGGCCCCGGGGTGTCGAGTGGTACGCCGGGAGTGTCGAGCGATGCCGATCTGTCGTGGAAGGCGGAGGAAGGATAGGGGAGGGGGAAGGATTGGAGCTGGAGCGGTCTGCGTCAAGTAGGGGGTGGAAAGGGAGCGAGGGTATTCGAGGGAGGGGCAGACAGGCGGTGGACAGGCCGAAAAGGAGTCGTCGAGATGCTGGAGTAGATGGAGTACGAAGTAGAAGTAGGAGAAAAGGAGAAGAGAAGAGCGGAGGAGGAGATGGACAGGTGAGGTGGTATTAATATCGAAAAAGCGTCTTGAGATGGTACTGTCTGGATTATGTGGCGGTTCGAGTTAAGCCGAGCACACGACCATTTTCCTTCCTAGTGGGGGCCCAATGTCCAGGGAGGGAAAAAAAAAAAAAAAAGGGAAAGACCGTCGCTAAGCCAGGTAGTTTAATAAATGGAAATGAATTTGTCTTCTCGTTGGGGAGATTTTTGGGCGGTGGGCGCTGGCTATTCTGCTTTTGTCGTCGGTCGACGAATCGAGGTAGGTGGTAAAGGGTTTCTACCTACCTACGGTAGATAGGTACACTTAGCAGACAGGCAGATAAAGAAGAGGCAGGTTATCGGACCACCCAGTCTCCAGGTAAGGTATCTGTAATTAGAGGCAGACATGGGAGTAAAAAGGCTAGAGCAGAGGCGCAGACATGAGGTAGAGTACTGAGGTGAGCAGAGCACCCAAGACTGGATGGGAGAGAGCATGTGAAAGCCACGGCTGCCACAATTTTCATTTAGGTACCTAGGGGACTGCCGGGCGGGGACGTAGGTATGGACGGGAGTGGACTTTTTTGATTACCTTGCCTAGGGACCTAAGGTAGGTAGTTGGTGGCAGTCAAGCGTGAGGTGACCCCAACGCCTTCAGCAAAGAGGTAAAGCCGGGGACATAAGAGCTATTACTACCTAGACACCTAGAGTAAAGCAGAGCAGAGGCAGTGGAGGAGCTCTCAATGAAATCACTGCAAGACCTGCACGTTTGTTGGCCTTTTCGCGGGACGCGTGGCACGAGCGCCAGTCCCACGAGACAGAGGCATGCAGCATGGTATGGGCATCCAATGGCGCGGGGGCGCCGATACGCTACGGTACGCAGACTTGGGGATTGGGGACGAGGGTTGGTTGGGAATGACACTGAGAACTGAGGGTCCGACGAAACATGATGGTCAGTGATCGGCTCTACCTTTTTTTTCTTTGGCGGCATCCTCGTCTTGTTACCTGCCTTTACTCCAAGAAAGATGTACGTACTTCCGCGCTCTGTCGAATTGCCTCCACCGCATGCCACCTCAAGCCGCCCTACGGATACCTTACGGATGCTACCTATCCCGACCTCTGCCTCCTCCGCAGCGGCAAAAAGTCCCTTGGCTGCCGTTCATCAGGACCTTGCAGCTGGTCGCGAATGCAGTGCGACAACCACAACAGCCTGAATCCCCATGGGTGGACGAATAGAAGGCCATTCAACGGCGGTGGCGTCAGGTCATTGGACGTTTCTGTTTCTTCCCCTCGTCAGATCGAATATCACCCCCCCCCCCCCCAAAAAGTTGGAGCTACCATGTCGTTTATTTCGTCATCGTTGGAGTGACCTTGTCCTCTTCTCCAGCAGCTGAGTACTATGGTAGGCGTAGAAGTATCCGTAGATATCCCTTCCCCAGATATGATCGCCGCGGGAAACAGGAACAAGTTGCCTCCCTCAGGCCAAAGCTACGTCCACCTCAGCTCCGCTCGCGTCAGGTATTGGTGCTCATGTAAGGTACTCTGTACATAGTAGAGTCGCATGTCTCCTTCAGTGCCGTTGCGGTTGTCTGACGGCTGGAATGGAAATGGGAAGCTTCAAGCCTCGAGCCTCACCGACTTGCACGTGTCTCTCCTTGATGCACTGGCAGGCTGCTACCTTGGTCTAGCCCAGCCTCTGACATGAACTGGATAAGGAAATTGGACGCATGTCTTGACGTACAATCGATACCATTGGATTTCCATTGGCTTCAAGGCATGTGACGGCTGGGAGGTTTAGGCCCGCATTAGGAGACACTGGACCCTTTACACTGCGCTCCCACCTTACCTTACGGTGCCTAGAGGCTAGGTAGCGCTATGAATACCTATGTGACTTCTGCTTGGCTAACGGGGTACCCACTCTTTGCCCACCACCGAACTGGAAATGGAACCTTGAGAGCCTCAACCCCACCTGCAGCCCTTCAAGGTACGTACCTTACTCAGTACCTTACCGCTGAGCAGAGATCAGAGAGCAGAGAAAACGTTCATGCTGCGCTTGGACCATCCACCTGCCCGCCGCGCCCGCCGCCCGCGCCCGTGCCCGTCCGCTCACGGCCCTCCCAACCTCCAATCACACTCAACCTCTGCTTTTATCAGATTCATCCAATGCCGTTCCCACCAGGCATCGGACAGCCGACATTCACGGTACGGGGGTAACTCGACGTGTCCCGTCGACAGCAATCCCACGCCCGCCTTTCGTCCCATCGCCGAACTACTACTCATAGCCGCCCGTTCCACACCCGCCGCGGCACTGACCGTCGAAGAATGAAGGGTGTCGACTTGCGTCAATCGTCAAATCCTCGGCTTCAAATCTAATCTCATCCTTCGGTTCGGTCAAGGATACGACAATGCCCGCCGCACCCGTACCGCATCATCAGCGACAGCTCAGCACCGCTGCCAACTGATGTGGCCTTTGAATGAACCGCTGCCCCCGTCATCGCCACCGTTCCCGCCATGGCGCTGCCCGTGCTCCCGAACCCCGCCAACTTTCTGGCCGTAGCACTGGTCATCAACAGATCCCGTGATGGCCCCAACTTCGTCTTTCACTACCCGCCACAAGTCCTGCCTCCCAACGCCAAGCCGCAGAATCACGAGCCGGCAGACGCTCCTCCCGATAACGACGACATATTGCTTGAGCGCTTAAACCAACCCGCGTCGCTAGACGCAGATGCCAACACGGACGAATCCCAGCAATGGACCGTAGGCGACGACCACCTGATCACCGATGAAGGCACACAGATCGTGCCGTGGGAGCATGTGGCAGGCTTTCCGACCAAAGACCTCGCCAGCGTCCTGACCCCAGGCAGGGCTTATCACAAGAAGCTGTTTCAACTTTCTCTCGACCCCTTGTACTGTGTCTCCTATCCAATCCACGTACCTGAAAGTGGCAGTTGGAAAAAGAAGAAGAAAAAGAAGGGAAAGCCTGAGAGGGCCAAGTCCGTAAGAACAGAAGAGTCGGCGGTGCTGGTCGATTACGATCCGAGCGAGGAAAATGAGGCGACTCCCAATGGCGCTGATGCCTCTCAGGGGGACCCCAAAGAAGAAGAGAAGCCCGATGAGGCAGATGACAAGCGAGCCTCCATGACCATGTTCAACTTGGTCTTCATACTCAACCCGAGGAAACACGAAGCCAAAGAGCTAATAGCCACCTTGTACTTGAACATCATCAAGAAGGTGAACAAGGCCTACAAGTACTGTCAACAGCATAGTGAATTTGTATGGAAGGAATCGAAGCGTATATCTGATCTGAAAGACAAGGGTCGCGAAGACAGTTGGTTGACCATCAGAAACTCTCGCGAATGTACGCTAACCCGACGCAGGGCGCAAGATGAGCTCCCTGTGGAGCGAGATATTGGCGACTTCGTCACTGGCGGCTTCGGTTCAGGACATCTACGAGGCGGTATCCCAGAATAAGATTGCAGCTCTGCAGCTGGACACGACGAACGGGCCAATCACCCCGTCCGTACAGATTCCTGTACCGTTTTATGTTACGGACTTGCATCAGATCGGGCAGAGAGAGAACAGAGGCCTCTGGCTGACGACGGCCAATTCCTTCATTGGCGAAGACACCATTGACGAACCCGGATTTCTGGACCGCAACTTTGCATTGCTTCTCATGGGTGACGAGAAGAAGATCATCGCCGAGCTCCAGGCAGATCCGGACCCTAGCACAGTCGCCATGGTCGAGTTCGCCCGGCTTTCGAAGCCTACGCAGTCGTGAGTGAATTTGTCTCATAATCTGTTCCCCATTGCTAACTGGAGACAAAGCTTCTATCAAGTCGGACAAAGTAACATCCTAACGTTGAGTCAAGTGCGTAAGTACGCCCAGCATTTCATCTTTTGGCGTCGCGCCATCGCGATACCTCCTTTACATGCTCGCGACATATACATCATGTCCCCGAACTGCGACACTCGCAACCTTCCCCGAGCCAGCCTCGAGTGGCAGAGGTCGTTTCCCCTAGCCCCGCCGCTCACCAACTTCCTCGCGGAGTTGTCCTACGCTCCGCGACCATACAAACATTTCTGCCCCAGCAAAGCCCACCGCCCGACGTACCTCGCCATGCTGGCCTGGCTGATGCGTGGCGCGTGGGTCACGCAGCTCTGCACCTTTGCCTATGTGGTCGTCTGGCCCGAGATCATCTACGAAGTCGAGCACAAGCTCGAGAGCGACGAGCTGCGCAAGGCCGACGATGCCAGCGCTCTCCTCAGCACCAGCGGCGGCGCTCTCAACGGCCCGAGTCCCCTCGACGTTGTCGACGAGCAGTCCGATGCCGCCGGGGAAGGCGGCGGCGGTAGCGGTGCCGCCACGATGGTTGCGCACGTGCCGACCATGAGCGAGCAGGTGGCGGAGAAGGCGCGGCTGGAGCGCATCGCGGAGAAGACGCAGCGCGAGGCGGCCGAGAAGGCGACGGCGCACGCGCGCAAGGTGCTGCCGACCGCGACGGACCACCCGTCGACCAACGACGCGCCGCACCTCGCGCGCATGTCGCCGTACATCATTCTCGACGCCAACAAGGCGACGGGCAAGGACTCGCTCTATCTCTCGGCCATCGGGAAGCGGTTCAAGGATCCCAAGGTGGCCAAGGCGTGGCAGGCGTTTTGGAAGTACTTGAACGGGCAGACTGCTCTGGAGAGGATCGCGTTGCAGGAGGACATGAAGCGTAAGGAGGCATGGAATCTGTTGACGGCGATGAGTGAGCATCTCCTATGCGTGCGGCATTGGTAGGACCGCTTTGCGACCTGCCTGCGCGGTTCGTATTGATAATTCACATGGCCAAGTAGGCTTGGATTTCTCCAGCATATTGCACGTTTTTGGTAGTCCGGGACAGGTCAGAGTGAATGATAGTCGAACACCTAGCAAGGCTGCGTGGCCGGCGTGGGAAGCTGGGTAGTAATGAGAGGAGGGCTTGTTGTAATAAGATAAAGGGAGGGTATCATTGTATATGTGCCAAAAAAAAAAAAAGGGGAAAAGGAAGAAAATCAAGGACAACCACACACGTGGGCCACGTACACAGCTGAGAAGTCGGGACATCACGCCAGGGATGGTAGATACAAGACTCTGAACCGACAAATGTTGGCATATAGAACCACCTGAGCATTAAAAAAGAAGAGAACGAACTGCGTGAAATAATATACGAAACCGCCTGAATATGAATGAACCTTGCAAATGCCCACCCGAACCCCCCAGAGGTATCACGACTGCCAGTAGAAAATGCTCGATAAACCCAGGAGAAACCCAAGAAAGAAAAAAAATAGGAAAGAAAGTGCTAGTCATCCAGAACCATAATCCAGCTAGCACGTCCCCATCATCCGTCATGTTGCCTATGTGAACCTCTCATCGTCATCCACGTAACCACACGTCTTCTCAACGCCGTATCCATGACCTAGACCCCGATAACCCCATGTATGCAAAGTAGACGCGTGCAGATGTATAGTAAAGAAGAAAATGACGAGATGGAAATGGTCCGCGCGTAGCTTGCGGCTCCATAGATGCTGGCAAAGAACACTAATTGGGCGTCAACGTAAGTCACTATTGTGTCAGGTCCATGCCGAACTCGTCCTCTTCCTTGAAGTTCAGCGAGGCAGGGCCACTGTCGTCGTCATCTGGGTCGTTCCAGAATTCGTTTCCAGCTGTCAGGTCATTGGCCAGAGCAGCACTTGCATTGCCACCAGGGCTGACGGAGACACCATCGGCGTTGGTCGCACCGTTGAGGGGCTCGCCACGGAAGTCGGTGTGGTGAGGCACTCTGAGGCCGGACCCGCTCGCACGCGAGTAGCCGAGGTCGTCGTTCTTGGAAATGGCTTCCATCAGCTCGGTCTGCATGCGCTTCTCATCCTCCGTGAGCTCGAAGGGGAAGTGACCGCCCAGTTCCGCAATGGCGTTCATCAATTCTTCCTGCTGTTGGAGCTTCAGGTGCAACATCCACATCAAGTCTCGTGTCCAGCTTACGGCACCGTTGAGGATGTCGCCCTTGTTGGGGCCCTTGTCCTTGTCTTCGATGGGCAGGCCAGTGGTGATGTTGCCAGTCGTACCGCCAGCTGCGCGTCGCGCTCCAGGCCCGGCAAGGCCCGAGGTTGCTTGCGACGGGTTGGAGATGCCCGTCAAAGTAGGGGAAAGCGGGGTACCGTTCTGGATCATTTTGCGAATCTTCTCGTCCTCCAGGCGGTGCGCAGGCACCAGTCTGCTCAGGTCTTGGATTCTTTCATTGATGTTGTCTCGTCGGCGCCGCTCGACAAGGTTATGGGACTCGCGACGTCTCTTCCGCTTCATCTCCTGGGAAGAAACGGCCCCAGGCTGAACCCCAAGCTTCGCAGGCATGGAGGTGCCGCCCTTCATCATGACCTCGTTGAGTTGAGCCAAGCCAGGCTGGATGGGTGAAGAAAACCCAGAGCCGTAGGACGCTGCCATGCTTCCAGTAGGGGTTTGCATCCACTGACCTCCTGCGGAGGGCGACTTTTCGTGCATACCTTGGGTCCTGATTGACTGGGGCCCGAAGCCCGACGTCTCGGGCACAGAATGCATTGCCGACTTGGGAGTCATTGGGCTTCTGGTGTTGGAAGAACTCTTTCTCTGCATCGCCTGCGCCATCCTGGCTCTGTTCTTCGCATTAAGGTAGTTGGCGTCTGCGCTCTCGTTATTCAGATCCGATCCGGTCAAAGGCGAGCCTGAGTAGGAAATGGGTGACGCGAGCGAGTTGCCGAGAGAGTGGGGGTTGTGCAGCTGGCGAAACTGGGAGTTGTTGAAGCTGTGGACGAAGGGACTTTGTATAGGATCTCCGTCGGGCGTGTTGGAGTAGCCGTTGATGTGGTTTGGTTGGTCCATGCCATGATATGAGCCATGAATAGTCTGATTGAAGCCGCCCATGCTGTTCATGTCCGACATGCCGCCAAAGTCCTGACCGTGGCCGTGCATGCTTGGCTGCTCGGTCGGGCTGCTGAGGCCATCGAGGAGCTCGTCGTCGCCGAAGAGGGCGTTACCGCTGGAAAAGCCATTTGAGTTGTTTGCAGAGTTGGAGTTGAAGTTGTTGGAGTAGGACGAGGCAAAGTTCCCTCCCATGGCCAGGTCGTTGGGGTCAATACTTCCGCCGGGGCCATGTCCCCCGTTGAACTGGCCGAAGCCGTGTTGTGCCATATCGAGTCTTGTTCGCTGCAGACGAGAGGTTGGAGTATCGCGAGTCGAGTGTGTCGGTCCGACAACTGCTGGAGGCCTCGCAGACCGTGTACGAAGTCACACCGCCTCTTTGGTCGGGGGGGAAAAAACAGTGGCTGAAGGAGCTACAAAGCTCGATGAAGACGAGTAAGATCCAGGTCGAATGGGCGACTGGAAAGAAGTAGACGGTCAGCAATGCGACTTCTTGTTGCGAGTGTAAGAAGGTGCGAATCAAGGGTGCGCAACTGCGCAGGTAGCAGTGCAGTGTGTTCAGCTTGCAGTCGGACAGAGAGGAGCTGGGGTTGAGGATGCGGATGTTCTCCACACCCACACAGACGCTACGGTACTGACTTTGCTGGTGCTGGATGGACAGCCCGCCGACACTGGAGCGCCACGGTGGGAAGCGGAGTAGGCGAGGGAAGGAGCGACCGAGGCGGAAGAAGTGACTGACTCACCGACTAGGTAGCAGGAAAACGGTCGGAAATATGTAAAGTTTGCGGCCGACAGCAGGATTTGTTACACAGCCATTCAATGCAGTGCTATGGAAGCTGCGGGGTTGGCGGCCTAAATAGGGCGAAAAGGCGAGGTGAGTTGGTTGTGTTTTGAGTGAGCAGGTGAGGCGGCGAGGGAGAAGTCGTCTGCTTCTTTTGTCGCAAAGGGCGTGAAGAGGTGAAAAGGTGGTGATGGCAGCCTATTCCGCAAGTGAAACAAGGCTAATAAGAGGAGACAGGTGTTGGTTGTCCGTCTCGGAGGGGGGCCAGGATTGCGAAAAGAGGAGGGAGAGTTGACTCGTCTTCTTGTTGCGACAGAAATGCGGTGTCGGTGACCCGAGGGTTTGCAGTGTAGGCGTAGGAGTTGATGGTGTATGCGTAGGTAAGATGACGGGAGGTGAGTGTAAGGTAGGTAGGTAAAGGTAAAGGCGTCTCGGGGCTGGGCTGGCTGGCTGGCGAATTGATCAGTTAGGACGTTGTGTTGCAAAATGGACGTGTGCAGTGTCAAGTAATGTACGATGTGCGCGTGGCGAGAGCGAGCGAGGGGCACCAAGGGTAAAGTAGGTAGGTAGGGGTACCTTTGACCTCGTACCTAGGTAGGTATCTCACTGGACTGGGGGCGGGCGACAGAATAAGAGATGATGGGGTGAGGGGAAATGGGAAATGGAAATGGGGCACCGCGTTTTCCTCCTTCTCCAGGGCTCCGGGCCAGACACTTTCCCAAGCCCAGGCCAGCGTCCCCGAAAATCGGGGCGGTCTGGTCTGCAGCTGCAAGGGAGGGCAAAACTTGTTGCTGGAATGTGGAATGAAACTGGCCTTGGGTGATCCAGTCTCAGAGACAATAGGTAGGTTGCGCGAAGGGCCCGGAGAGGGTTTGCTGGGATGGAATGCGACAAGACGGGAAGACTTGACTATGAGTTTCGAAAAGGAGCAGGAAGAGAAGGAGGCGGAGGCGGAGGCAGAGGCGGAGGAGGAGGAGGAGGTGATGGAGGTCAAAGGTGAAGATGGGTGTGCTAAGGTATGACAAGTCCAGTCCGGGGTTGACTTGACTTGACTTGACACCGAGGGGCAGGGAATGGACGGCGGAACGAGTCGAACCAGAACGCAGCGCAACGCAACGCGACGCAACACGGATGCTGACTTGACTTACCGTACTATATGTATTGGATGGTGGTAAGTTGGTCGTTTGGTGCACGGCGGCTGTTCCTCTCGCGGTGAGAGCACGCTTTGGCTCGGTTGCCGCTCAATGTCGCACAGGCGAAAGAGGCGAGGAGACGAGGAGGAGGAGGGTGGTGACGGTGGTGTGCTCGTTACCTTATGGTGTTGGTGTTGGTGCTTGTGTTGGTATTGGTATTGGTATTGGTACTGGTGTTGGTGTTGGTGTTGGTGTCGTAAGGGCAGCTTAGCTCGCGCCAATGCCTAGACCGGTGTGATTGGGCGATGTGTGATGTGCCATGTACCGTGTGCTGAGAGCCAGAAGAGGCGGAATAACACGTCGCGGCAATAGTGGTCAGAAGAAAGCCGGAGAAGGCAGAGCAGAAATTCCCGGGACTGAGGAATGCCACTTGTGACCAGGAAAAGTGAGTGCGACGACTGGGTAGTTGATGATGTGTGGTCGCCGGTTCGGACGGGTCGGGGATAAGCCAAGCCTGGGCGAGCGAGATGCCGGTATCTCTCCTCTGTCCTAGCTTCATGTCAGCTTATGTATCCGTACCTCAACTCAACAGATGTGAATGATGGCGAGGGTTGTGTAGCGTACCTTAGTTGGGACGAGACGGCGTAAATGCGCGGGCAGTATCCGTAAAGCGGAACGTGCGATCCGGGGATGTCTACGGCGGTCTTGTACCCAGTCAGACAGTTATCAATGATTGTGATGAGGTAAAATCCAGAAACAGAAACAGAAACAGAAACAAAGTACATGAACGAAATAGGAGACAAGGTTTTTAGTGACTCAAGAGCAAACAGGAGGGGATGTGGACAAGACCGCCAAGCACGAGAAATGGTAGCGGAAGGGGCGGCTGCGAGGCTGAGTCGTGAAGATGGGAAAACGACCTGACTTGACGGGAAGGATAGAGATGGATAGATGTATGGACGGATGCCCGGAGTGGAAGTGAAAGAATGGCACTGCAAGGTGGATAAGGAGCTTGACTGACCTTGTGTCTCTTCCAGGATTGCAGTTGAGGTGAGGGCCGGCGTCGAGAATATCTTGCTTGGGTACCTTAGGTCCAGTATGCGCCACAGCAAGAGTCGAGACAGGGCAGATTGACGTGCAGTGGACGGGACGTTTTAGCCGGTTGGTAACGTTCGATTGGAGGCTGCTTCTGGTGACCTCTCAAACTCTCGATTTGGTAGGTATCTTCCGCGGGGAATGCGGGTGAAATGGACCCAAATGGACCTGACTGGATGGTGGATGGTGGATGGGGTTCAGTCAGATCGGGGTCGGAATCCGGGTCGGAGATGCGATGCGCGGTGAATCGTGATCCCTGTCGGTCGCTGATTGCACTATCCGACTTGTGTCTTGTCTGACAAGGTCTTGTTGGCGATGTGATGATGATTGAAAGTTGCAAAAGCAGAGGAGGAATTGGAATGACGAGCCGATGAGTACCTAGGTAGGTAGCTACCTAAGGTGCCTTCAGTAAGGTATCGTCGTTGAAAGGGCCCGGGCACCTATTAGGGTACCTTACCTACTAAGGTCCAGTAGGTAGGAGGAAGCTGAAGCTGGCCAGCGAGGTTGACGGCGCCAAAAGTTTAGACTTCGTTCCTTTCGGTCTTTCTGGAGCAAAATGCCCGGCCGCGCCGTGAGGTCCACCGTAGGAGAGGGAAAAAAAAAAAAAAAAAAAAAAAAAAAAGAGGTGACCGGGATGCCGGAGAGTGAGGTGGTCTCCAACGATTAAAAGACACTGCCAGTTGAGAACAAGCAGGCGGGGGCCTTCGGACTCGGCGGCTCGAGATTTCCTCGAGTTGTTGCACAATTTCAACAGACCTCAGTTGAGTCTGAATCGATGCCGAGCTTCCCACGGCTTCCGGGAGGTGGTCGAAAAGCACCACCGTCTTCTTGATCGGTCTTCGTTCACGTTCCCGTTCCCGTTGCCGTTTCCGAGTCAAGTGTCGACCCTGTTCTGTTCTGTTCTGTTCTGTTCCAGCGCTTCTGTTGCGTCCAAGTCCGAGTCGATCTCTCTGCAACTTCATGTCAACATCAACAACCCTTTCGCTGCTCGGCCCAAAGCCTCAGTCTTTACATACCTCCTCTTGTCTCTTTTGGTTTTTTTCTTCTCTTCCTTTCCTGGCACAATTTGCACTCGCTCGCAGAGTCTTGTTTCGTCGGTGTTTTCTTTCTTCTTTTCTCTTCTTTCCCCTCCGTCGCAAAGGGGAAACGCGCTAGCATTTATATCGTCGCGCGTTTCTACCAAGAGCCACTACATCATCTGGTCGAGGCTTGTCACTTCGCCTGCATCTCCTGACTCGTCCCATTTTCCGGGGGTGGCACCCTCTACCGCCTCTTTCCGGGACACTTTGGCTGTCCTCTGCTGCCTCTGGCGGCCACTTGGGCGGAGTCGGGACGAGATGGAGGGCACCCGGGACAGGGGAGGGAGGGCACCGGCCGAACCCCGTGACGCCTTCAGTCAGTCAGACTAAGACATCAAGACACCTACTGGATCCGCGCCGGCCGCAACGACTCGAGACGCTCATCGGGACCTGCTTAACGATCGGCCAGAACCAAATGGTCATGCACTACCACTTGTCTGGCTTGCCCACGAGCAAGCACATCACGAACAGAGGCCAACCGGGCTACCCATACCCCGTATCTTTAGACTTCAGGTTGTCGGCCAGGAACCCGCGAGGCCAGTGACGCCTCACAATGCTGTGGGCTGAATTATGGGATTCTGTCTCATTTCCGTTGCCCTTTGGAAAACCAGTCAAGCCTGTTTTCTCTACTCGAGAATACCTTACCCATGCCACGCCACGGCACGCCATGTACATGCGGCCTCGAATTGTGGTTGGTTGGACGATCCTTCGCGATCGAGGCCCTTTGAGGCAGACTCCTTTTAGTCGGAACAGCCTTCAGCCAGGTCGAGCTTCAGCCAGGGAGCAGCGCGGTCCATGGCGTGTGTCTTCTATCTGCTCGTTGGCTTTGTTTTGATCTTATCTCGAGCCTGTCGCTCATCATCCTGGCCTGGCTCCACAAAGTATTTTCTGCCAAGTGTGAGGTTCTTGGACGATGTGGAACAGGCGCAGCCACAGCAGCAATCTTCACCGCCTCGGGTTGCTGTCTTTGGTCTTCCTCTCCCTTCCGTCGTCACCCCCAGTCAAACCGAGAGGCGAACAGTCGTAGTCTGTTCTGAGTGCTGATATCTCGGGGAATGAAGAGTTGGGTACATAGCACACACCCACGCCCACTCACACCTCCTGGGCTGCTCAGACAACGGAAAGGTTACTTCGCAGCAAGACAAGTAGGTTATCGAGCGCTGTCTCTGAGCGAAGAGCGTGTAACGTAAGAGCAAGTGACTGGACTCCCACGGTTGAGCAGCGGTATCGTATCTACGGATACCTGCTACGGATACCTTCCTCAGGCTGGCAAGTGACGGGTCGATGGTGAATATCTCTTCTTCTTCTGCCAGTAGCAACGCGACGCTCTGCGGGTAATCGCCCTTGGCAGAGACTTGGGTGTTTCCGTCATCCGCCTCTGACTGGATATCCTCTTGGCCATGCCTTCGACTTCGCCTTCACCTTCACTCTCATGCACGGCTACCAGCAGGTCTCGGAGCTGCAGCCGCACTGTGCGTTGGGTTGTATGGGTAGGGTATTCGTAAGTGTATGCCGGCAGAGTAGGGTAACCTCAAAATCAGGATGCTGGAGTACTATTGGATCAGAGTCTGCGTTTTCGCAGCGCAGCGCACCTCAGGTCGATGGGGGCGGGACGTGGAGGGTCCAGCTGGGGGTGGAGCAGTATAGGTAAAATCCAACCACCCACCAATCATTTGATGCGGATTAGAGGATCGCAAGTAACGATAACGTCTTTGGAGCGGCATCCCAATGAGGAAAGGCAGTCGAAGTCGAGCAGGACGGGAGGTTTCCAAGGTTATTATTTTGGTCTGTTCCGGGGTACGTACTCCCGTCCCTCCCGGGTGTCGTCCAGCGCAGAAGGCTGTCACTTTTGATTGGCTTGCATCCAACCACATTCCAACCACCATCAATCCGTCTGCTGGCTCCCAATTTGAGACACTCTCCAACCCAAGCTTACCTTCATCTTCCATTACCTTCAGTCTCGTCAACTTCCACCTACCATCCCCCACCAGCCTCTTGTCCTCGTGTAGCACCCTGCCTCAGGCCCTCCACCCCCTCACCCTCCCCTTCAACTATCCCCCAACTCCGTTTCTCTCTTTCTCTCCATCGCCATCGCCTTCGCCTTCGCCCCCCCCCGACTTACGTTGCGACCGACGCGGTGCGGTACGCGCGGACACTAGGCTGCCCCCCTTCATCCTGCCTACGTCGCATCACGGATCGAACAGGTGGTCACTGAGTACGCGCCCCTCCGACCCTCCGACCCTCCCTCCCTTTCGTTGCGGCCATGTATATACATCAAGCTGACCATCTTAGCTGTGGAGCAGCTTCTCGACACCCGCTTTCCACCGTCCATCTGCCGCGCTACGCCAGCCGTTCACTCCCGTGCTCCCCCCCCCCAGTAGCAGCGGAGACGTCCCCGACACAACCCTTCGCCCAATCATCTTCTCTCCTCGAAACGACCGCCCTCAAACCGTTTCCCATATCCTCAAATCCCGTCACTTGACCCGTTGCTCTTCGAAAATACACCACCGCCCCGACTTCTTGCGCCCACGCTGCTTGCTACTCACCCGCGCGCGAGTGGTTAAGCGGACCATACCTGCGCAGACTACGTCATCGTCACTAGTGTCAAAGTCAACCTACGTCGAAACCATGGCTTCCAACTCGTTCAGAGACTCCATCAACTCTCTGGGCTGGTCGCGCCGCGATCAGGATGTCCCCGTCAACACGTCGCAACAGACTGGTCTGCTATCATCTATCAAGTCTTTCAACCCGTTTGGGAACAACAGCTACATTCAGCTCCCGACGACCGAGGGAGCAGGAGCCCCCTTGCCCGCTGCCAGTAGAAGAGAAGAGGAGGAAGGCTTTGCTACGCGTGAGTCATATCTTTCTCGGACGCCTCCCTCTGTAGCTATTCCTTGAGCTATTCCTTGAGCTTGAGCTCCATACACAACTCCCGCCCCAGCTCCCCTGCGGCTGGTAAAGGCTCGAGTTTGGTTGCCATGTCTCGGTTTGCCATGTGAGCAAGCGGCTTGCTAAACAGTGGTGTCGTTTCCGGCCTTTTTCCTCCGCATCAGCCACGCTGACGTAGTATTCGCTCCCAGTGAGTCGATGGGACCGGTTGCTCATCTTCGGTGCCTGCAACCTGGGCGCGCTCGCTTGCTTCGTCATCTGCTTCGCCCTGTTCCCAGTGCTGTCCCTGCGACCGCGCAAGTTTGTAATTCTGTAGGTCCCCCCCTTGCTGCTTGGCTTCTGCCCCTCCAACCCCCATGCGTGCCAAACAGGCTGGCTAGATGCCGGCATCGCAAATCGACAACGAATGGTTAGGTCGGAGGGTGGCCATGGGCGGAGGGTTTTCCCCTTCTGCATCTACCCGGTTTCCATGCCAGATGATCTTGCATGACGAGCTAGTCTTGAGCACCACATCCGGTGACAGGACCGCGTGGCTAGTGCTTCAAACTCGAATCTGCTTTTTGGTGATTATCTGAGAGAAATGCATTATTTGCTAACCTATTGCCCCCCACAGATGGACACTTGGTTCCCTCCTGTTCCTGGCCTCCTTTGCGGCCGTCATGGGCCCTATGGCTTACGCGCGCCATCTTATCTCCGGGCCTCGCCTGCCTTTCACCGCGGCTTACTTTGGGTCGCTCTCGCTGTCGCTTTACTTCTCTCTCGGTGTAAGCTTTTGGCGCACTTTCACCGTCGTACGAATCATTGCTGACAAGTCATGACAGCTTCACAGCACCTTCCTCACCCTCATCTCAGCTCTCATCCAGCTGGCATGCTTGCTTTGGTATCTGGTCAGCTACTTCCCAATGGGATCCAGCGGCTTGCGATTGGCAACGACATTTGGAGCGAGAAGAGCAGCGGCTTGGATGTCTGGCTAATCTACAGACATCTGTACATTCTGTACCATAGGGGGACTGTACCGAATTGTGTGATAATCGGCGTGAACTGCTTGATGCGCGTCGGAATGAGTTGTAATAGCTTTGGCAGAAATCAAGACAACCTGAGAAGCGGTCGCCAAATCCAAGACACCGTCTTCAATGTACTGCACAATCTTGTTGTGTTGTCGTCGAGTGCTACTGACAACAACACGAGGCGGAGCTGGCTCCGACAGCAATCATTATCACCTCGGTCTTTCGCAAAAATATCAACTTTGGCGAGCGCCAGCTCATGACACCCTTATGCTGGCCGGGAAAGGGTTCGGGAGAAGAATTGCGGCAATTTTCTCTTTCAAGTGCCTTCGTCATGCTTCCTTTTTCTGCCAGTTCTTCCACCATGTCAGGGTACCCCCCGCAATGATCGACGGCCGGCTGCAGTTTGCAGACCCCTTCGGGATTGAGGAATTACTTGGGGGTGGGCAGAATATTATGCCCTATTCCTTTCTTGTTGCCTCGTTCCTCTCTCGGCATGCCTGTTTTTTCACAAAAAAAATAAATCATAAAAATCATTTTTCGTTTCTGCAATCTGATAATTTCCGCAGCATGTATGGTCTAGATGCATGTCGAGCGCCGCCTTTTTTCTAATTCCACCCCGCGGGGAATCGGGACATGAGCGGGCGGAAGAGTCCGGACGAGTCCGGAAGGTAAAGGAAAGCACGAAAGCCGAGTCAGTATTTGCTGATTATGCAGAAAGTGGCCCAGAACAACCCCAAAAAAAAAAAAAAAGGAAGTAGAAGAAAACAGTGTTGATCAGTGACTTTGCCTAGGGCCCTGGTTGTGGAGGGGCGGAGGAAGAAGTCGAGGCAGAATCCAGGGATTTATAAACGAGCCATGATCGTAGTAACGTAAGGTAGTTACGGATAGCTGGTTTATGCTCGCTATCTTATTTATGTCGCCGAGATTGTATCATTGGTTTGCCAGTTGAGGCCAAAAAAAAAAAAAAAAAACCAATCACTCTTCTTGGCTTTCCAAAGCCAAGAATAACGGGGCGTGGCTGGAGATTTCCATTTCCCCAAGGACGCCGGGCTCTTTCCCAGCTTGCCGAGGCGTGGTGGAACCGGCCGGCGTCAGGCGATGCGGACTCCCGCACGTGTGTTGCAGAGGTAAAGATCCTTCTAACCCTTAATGCCGTCCCATGGCGTATTTAGTGGTGGCTAACGTGCTAATTAATACGCATCGTTGCTCATTGTTTGTCCATGCGGGGGGCGAAGAGAAGAGATTCGGCTGGCTCGCCTTTGATGAGATGGCATGGCCAACAAAGCATTATCCCACCTGGTTTCTGCGTCGATTGACGTACGTAGTAGCTCGCCGGTGGAACATCAACACGTATCAAAAGGGGGTGGTCAAACCAGGTTTTACTAGCGAGGTCGGGATGGGGGACTGCTGGCGTGCGTGGCATGGAAAATCGCTGTCTCGGTGTGTTTTGCCAGTGGAATCCCATGTCCGTCTTCCCATTCACGATGTCCGTGATGACTAAGTCAAGCACGCCTACCTTACCCTGCGGTAAGTCCCTGTGGCGCTGAAATGACTGTGGTGGTCACTGGCATGCCCCGACGTTTGGTTAATTGTGGCCGTCGTGTAGTTAACACCAAATGACCAAGCCTGCTTTGCTTGTAATTCCTTCGCCATGTACAGAGTATCCGTACAGTGCTTGACAGAGACCCGGATTCGGAAAAGTAGGTTCTAACCCGCGGTCCATGATACACGGAGAAGGGCCTCAAATAATAACGTCAAGGAAAAGACGTCTTTATGTAATTCGAGTGCGGTGAATGGGGTTTGGGCGAGAAAATTAATAATAATGCAGTGCCAGACCAGGGTCGTAGCCGCGGTTACCGTTTCCCTCCATCTGCTTCCTGCTTCTTCGCATACCGTGAGGCAGAAGAAGAAGTAGATCCAAGTTGGACGAATGGGCAACGGAGAAAATGTGATTCTGGACTCTAGAGGTTACCACGGACCGCAGGTTGATCAAGGCATGGCGTGACGCCTTTTAGGGTGGACAGAATCCAGCCCGCAGCTCTGAGGAGAGATGCAGAGACTCCGAAGCGCCGCGGCGGTACGTGCCCAGCCAGATCGTGGCGGCGGCGGCGATGGACTCCCGTCAGCACCGGGGCCATTACATCCTGACTCCAAGTGTGTACGGATAAAGACGACGACTGGGACGAGGACGAGGACGAGGACGAGCTCGGGGTATGATGTGAAATGAAGAGGTGTCTTGCTGGCTCATCCTTGGCTCCCTTGGTCGTAAGATGCAACATACCTTGATCGCATCAGCCGGAACGCGAGCAGGAACCGAGGGGAAGGAAAGCGAGCGAGACAGGGCAAGTATGGAAGGCAAGGCAAGGCAAGACAAGGCGAGGTCCGTTTGGTCGAAACCCCGTCTGCCCGCTCGGTTGGTGCGTGGTGCGGTGCGGTGCGGTGCTTTGCATCTGTAAGTCAACCTGGAAGGCCGGTAACACTCGCATCGCAGTTTTCAAGCTCCATATGACACATGAGCGAATAGGCGGCGGTGACCTGCCACCTGGAGAAGGACGGACCAAGACTTATATTCGCGCATCCCCACCGCAGCCGACAAGGAGACGGACGGGGCGGGTTGCGGAATGTGTGCGCATATGCAGAAGAAACGTCGCAGCAGCAGCAGCAGAGGAGCAGCATCAGTCAAGGTCGTCTGGGATTCGGGTGACTTGTGATGAGCATGATTCGGAGTCGGAAACGGAAGACTCGTGGAGAAACTGCCTCCCATAGTAAGGCACCTCAATGTAAGGTAGGTAAGTACGTAACATCATGTTGGTGCAGACGGGCGTGTAAGGCTTTGGCCAAAGAGGGGGAACTTGAATCGCCTTACCTAAGGCACCTTAGGAAGGAAGGAGGGGTAATTATGTTTTCTGTGTTTGTATCCGTTTTCTATGACTACCTTACGTTATTTATTACGGGCCCTCCAAAGTTGCCCGCTCTCCAGCTCCATTCATGTACGCTGATGCCTTTTCTCATTGGATTTCCTCTGCTCGTGGTCGCCGGGGCCCGCTGCGCTTGCTGCGGTGCAGGTGCAGAGTGAGGTGCTGATGACTGCCCGCCCTGCTATTGCAGCCCTGTCGGTCCAGGTCATGATTCTGCCGTCCGAGGTCAGGGGCCCCTGTGCACCTCAGCCATTGAGGCACCTCACACTGGATTACTTGCCTAGACATCTACCGAAGGATAGGTAGGTAGGTGACTTTGGTAAATTGGAGGCTATCCGATGATTCTCACTGGCCCAAGTAGGTAGACCGACGGGAACCTCTGCTACCAGCCTTACCTTACCTTGTCTAAAATGGGAAATAAATCGTTCACCGCCCGCCCGCGCAAGATACGCTTCAGGTACATCACCGAGGACGGCGAGAGCGGCGAGGACAGGGCCTCAAATGCACACTACAGCGCTGTGAGACAGCTTACTTGAGCCTGCTGCTGTCGGGTTGAAGCACTCCCTGTGATGAGGTACCTACTTTGATCCGTGGATTCAACGTACCTATCTAAAGTCCTTTCTTGCCTACCTTACCTTACCTTCCTAGGTACACGAGGTAGGTAGGTAACCCAACGCAAGGCGGGTGAGAACCTACTTACCCAGGTACCCAAGTAGTGATGCGCAGGGCACGATTCACTTCAACAGGCCGCCTTTTTTTTTTTTTTTTTTGGCTCCGGTCTTCCAGGCGCCATGGGACCGCGAGTGTTTGATACTGGAGGTAACCGTACTGGTGCTGGTCATGTGCTGTGGGTTGATGTAATATGTAATGGAACCTAAGTAATAGACAAGTTGCCAGATGCTCACGGGTGAATGTTATGCGATTGCCTACGGCACCTTAGGCTAAGGTACCTTAAGGTATGGTAAAATAGGTGAGTCGTAGTCGCAGTCGCAGCGCAGTCGCAGTCAGTCACCGTCGGATCCCTTTCCTTCCCTTTCCCCCTCCCATCCCACCCCTCCCCGCTAAAAAGTCAGGTCAACAAGCTGCCTCCACCTTGCCTCGAGTGCCAACCTGGTACCTAGTGGCTTTCCCGAGAAGAAAAAAAATTCATTCACAAAAAAAAAACTCGGGCTTCAGAATTTATTCCTAGACCTTAACCTTTTTTTCCCTCTCTTCCCTTCCACAACCACACAACGCCTCCCTCCATCCTCCACAATCCTCTTGCCCCGGGTGAATATTGTGGCCTGCTCTTCTCTTGTGTCTTGCTGAGCCGACAATTTCGTCAGCTGCGCCGCTTCTTCCACGTTTCGTACACGACCGCCAGCGAGAAGGACGAAGAAAAAAAGAGAGACCCCTCAGGCCGACAAGCCCTCGCCCAATCGAAGCTTTGCGTTTACCCGTCGTTCATATTTTCCTTGGATCGCGGCAACCCGACCATCTCCGGAAAGCCTCGCTTTTTTTTCACCACACAGATCAGGGTCTGCCACACTTTGTTGACTTGCACCCAACGTTCTTCTGCCACTCGGTACGAATTCCACCGCCGCTCGAAAGAACCCCTCCGTACCATTTATTCCCTCGTGTCTGCTTTTCTGCAGAGTTCAGAGTTCGCCTGGCTCTGCCGGAAGCTCGCTTCTTCCTCCTTGCCCCCCTCCCCGCACTCGCCGCCGTCTGCAGTCTCTATCGGCTTCACAGTATCGGAGAAGCGCCAGCTTGCTCTAACATAATTCTTTTCTCACAGTCTCTGCGACCTCTCAACACGACGATCGACGACACGACTTTGACCCGCGCCATTGCAATTCGTCGCTCGACCCATTTCCAGACCACGTAGGAAGGTTGGTTCGCCTTCTTTGGTCTGTCTCCGTCTGAGGAGTTTCTGGTAAACCCCGGTTTACCCGTACAGAAGCCTTGGGAGGCTACCTACTCGGGGCCTGGCAGGATCGGATCTACGGATCTATTGACCATCGTTGCTGGTCAGACATAACCCAAATAGTCTTTCGAGGCATGTCTATTTCTGCATCAGCCTTAGCATCAGACACAATGGCTACTGCATTTTCCTACGCTCAAGCCGCCAAGGGTCAGGCGCCTGCCGCGACATCGGCGGCCCAGCCCGTCGAGAACGTCAAGGACTCCGCGAGCTCGGCGAACGGCGAACAACCGACCGCTGAGCCCAACGCCGTCAAGACCGCCTCCGCCGAAGAGGACACTTCGAGAAATACGACCCTCAAGGCCCAGTTGGCCGCCAAGCAGGATTCATCATCCACACCTGCCGAGGCCACCAACAACACATCTGCTGCTGCCTCCGTCACCGACTCTCGCCGCGATGACGAGGACGCCGCCACCGAGAGCTCTGCCCGACGAAGCGACAAGAGCGTGAGGTCGGCAAGTGCATCCACTCGCGTGACCGACGAAGCCGAGCCCAAGAAGGGCTCTAGGAAGCCAAGGAAGGGCAAGGCCGGGAAGGAGTCTAGCGATGAGTCCAAGAAGGAGAAGGCTGCGGAGGAAGAGAAGGAGCAGCCCAAGATCGAGTTGATCGAGGCACCGCTCCCCTCAGTCAACATCTGGACGCAAAGGAAAGAGACCCAGGCTGCAAAGACCACTGTGACGCTGCCCGCTCATCCCGCTCCTGCTCAATCCAATACCAACACCACCGCCGCTGCCGATGTTTGGCCCAACAGCCAGGAGTCCAAGAAGAAGAGCAAGACGGCCGAAGTCTCCGAGGCCACCAATGGCGCCGTCAACGGCACCAAGTCTCAACGCAAGGTTGGCGACGACGCCGCTGCTAGAAGGAACGGCTCTCGCGGCTCCAGATTGATCGAGAGAGACAGCCGTACCACCGAGCTTCCCCCGCCTGTGAACGACGTCACCTCGTGGCCCACGCCCGAGACCGCAGTCAAGGAAACTGTCAAGGACGAGTCGCGCAAGCCTGGTGGTGAGAAGACTGACCGGCCGGACGCCGAGCCCCAGGAGGAGTCCGGCAAGGGGCGTGCCAAGAGCTGGAAGCCATTGCCTTTTGTGCCAACCGTGGCGTTTTCCACTCCTATTCCCTCAACAAGGGGCGCTCGTGGGGGACGAGGCGGTGCCCGTGGTGGCCGCGATGCCACTTCTAGAGGAGGCCATGGTGCCGCTGCCGCCGCTGCCGACAAGTCCTCTGCGGCCCCGTCCAAGAGCGGGGGTGAGGCTCGCGAGCGTGCCAGAGATGCGAACGCCCCGGCCAGAACCAACTCGCAGCCTCCCGCCGTCAACAAGCGCGCCTCAATGGACGTTGCCAAGGAGCAACGCAAGGCCCCTGCCCCTACTGGCGAGCGTGCTAAGGAGTCGCAGTCCACGACCGTAAGTTGCATCTCGATCGCAGATCAGCTTTCCTCAATCTCCCGTACTGACTATGAACTAGGATCAGGCAGGTCCTGTCCGAGGAGAAGGCCGCAGTGACAGAGGTCGCGGAAACTTCCGAGGTGGGCGTGGAAGCCATCCCGGCAATGCGCCCATGCACGCTCAGCAGTCTTCGTACATGGGCAACGGTAACTCGTTTGGCTCTCAAGGTCCTCCGCGTCAATACGCCAGCCCTCCTCTGCACCAGGGCGGCAACTTCACCGCGTCGTACGGAGGTTCCCAGTCTCGGGGCGGTCGTGGTGGCCGCGGCCAGTCCAACGGTTCCGGAGCCTACCGTGGTGTTGGCGGCTCCAACGCTGGCCGCGCTCGTCAAGTACAGGCCAACATGAACCAAGGCTCTTGGGACTATCCGATGCCTTTGACGCCGGCAACTTACGGATGGTACGAACAGATCAGGCAGATTCTCATTCCTCAATTGGAGTACTACTTCTCCATCGAGAACCTCGTCAAGGACGAATTCCTCCGCAGGCATATGGACAGCCAGGGCTTCGTGCCCCTGGAAATGGTGTTAAACTTCTCTAGAGTCCGCCACATTGCCGACCCCACTGTACTCCGTGCCATCACCGCCGAGTGTACTCAATTGGACTTCGTGGTTGGAGACGACAATATTGAGCGGATCCGCTCCCGCTCACACTGGCAGAAATTCGTCTACCCCGCTATGGAGCAACGAGCCGAGTCCGCACGGAATGCGGGTCCTCAGTACTTCTGGACTCGCTCCCACCACGCCATGTCCTCCACCTACGAGGGAATGATGGGCGAATACGCTGTTAGCTCCCCGACCGGATACCCCAATGGCGGCGAGAACGGCTACATGCCGTACGCTCACGAGGCTGTTGGCGGTCAGCCCAACGGCCAACTATCCGCTCAAGTTCCCGCGTTCCAGCCCAGCACTTCTGCCGAGGGCTCCGCTGACGCATCTGCCGACGCGGAATCGAAGGCTCAGCCTATCGTCAACGGCTCTGCCGAAGTCTCCGAGGCTGCGCCAATGACGAACGGAAACCATGCGCAGACCAACGAAGCCCTTCAGTCCTAGTTGGAGGAAGAGGTTGATGAGGACTGCGGTGGCGAGACGGGGGAGAGCAGCGCCAGCGTTCCCAGCCCGTCTCAACGGGCACATCTGGTGATGCGTTCAACGGAATCAGTCGACGACATCCCATACCCTGAGTTCCGCACACGCGCTCTCTCCAAAAGGCGGGACGCGTTGGCAGGCGCCAACCCCGATGGCATCTCTGTCGTCTCTAGTGATATCCATGGCGTCGCTTCCAGCGTTCCTGGCGGTATGGATATGATATCCCTTTATCGGTTCTGGTCTCATTTCTTGGCTCGGCATTTTGATTTGGAGATGTTTGAGGAGTTCCGGGCATGTGCTGTGGCGGACGCCACGGGGGAGACGGCCAGCAAAGTTGGCCTTGAAAATTTGATTGCTTACTACGAAACGATTCTTGAGGGAAATGACAACCACCAGCGACCTCTGGCCGACATGGAGTCCCTTTACAATGAAGCAAAGAAGCTGGCTGCGGGGGCGATGGTTTAAGAGGTGGTGGGCTTTGTGGTCAGAGATTGCAGACAAAAAAGACGTTTGATGAATTACGCATGGTTGTGGGATTTTCTCGGCAGCTATCAGCTTCAGGGGTGGCCATTCATCCGGTGCCGGATCTGTGGCGATCTGTTGGCCTCTGGGGATTCGTTGAATGTACAACGTTTCTTGGAATCACCAGACGCGTGCTCGTTCTTCGTGTCCTTCGACAACGGTTGGAAAAGTTCCTTGCTTTCTTGCGAAGGGGAAACAGGGAAGAAGAAGTCCCTTGGCTGGCTGGGAAGCGACATACTCGCGATAGGGTTCGGTTCAGAAATAATGGGGAGATGGGATAAGCATGGGCGGGTAAGAAGCAATGTCTGGATTGCGTTGGGTACGGGAACGAACCCTTCCTTACCTCGAAGGAAACGTACTTTGATGATGAAAGTCTCTTCTCTGGCGTCTTCGGCATTGGCCCGACGTTACTGTCGACGGCCTACTTTCATTCCTCGGGGGTCTTTTTTTTAAACAAAAAACGAACGTCTGGTCTCAGTCGGGGTCCTGTTTCTCCTCTCGCCTCCTGCCGCTAGACGAAGAAAAAAGTTTCTTCCCCCTTTTCTCTCTCTCTCTCTCTCTCTCTCTCTCTCTCTCTCCTTTTCTTTTTTTTTCCAATCTGCACATAGTTCTGCATGCTTTTAGGGAATAATGGGGGCCACGAAATGCATTCAAGCGGTCACAGAGGGTTTGGAGGCGATGGTTTGTGGTTCTAGATTTCTCTCTCTTTTCTGTCGATCGTCATCACCACGTGGAAACGAAGAGAGCACCGTCGCCTACCAAAATTCGGCAGGTGTCATTTTGTACGAATAAGACCAGTTAAAAATGAATAAATATGGAGTGGTTGGCGTTAATGCGGCCTTTCATTTCCTCCTGCCGTGCGAGCGACAGACTCGATCAACATTGGAAGGTACCAGGGCCCCATGTCGTTCACCTGGGTTGGGAGTCTGGATGTTGACTAGAGAGACACCTGTCTCGCCTTCTTCCGACAATATGTTGGGTAGAGCAGAGGTTCGTGTTCGAGAATGACAGCCGTTTCATGGACCGCATTTTCATTATTTTTGTTTTATTTGGCGCTGTGGGCCCGTCAAGAAACAAAAGATCACGCGAAATTGTCCACTTAACCTAGGCTATCGCATCATGATCATTTCATATTACTCATTACTAAGCTGTTGTTCAAGCCTGCGCAGTTTGCCCGGGTCGTTGCCGTAGCAAGCATCGAGGTGGCCAGGGAAATAAGGCGAAAAAGAAGAAGAAAAAGACATTATGTACAATACTCCCAATGCCGTTGCCTTCGTGACTTCATCTTGTCGGAGGGTATGCTTCGTATATGTCGTATCGTGCGTTTTGGTGTTTAGAGTGCCATGACGAGGCCAACAACAGCGGCCACACCGGCAAGACCGTGAGCCATGGCGGTAGGGGCAGCGTTGGAGGGAGCCTCGGTGCCAGAAGCGGTGCCCGAGGCGGTGCCAGAGGCCTCGGTGCCGCTGGCCTCGGTGCCGGACTCGGACTCAGTAGCCGTGGCAGACTCGGTGGCAGTTGACTCGGTGACGGTCTCGGTGCTGTTGGACGGTGTGAGTAGGGACTTTGGCGACTTGGAGATGGGAGGAGGGGGATGAGTAGCTTACGCAGTGGTGGCAGCGGACTCGGTGGCGTTGGTGCCGGCAATGGTAGAGGTGTAAGAGTTACCGGCGGAGTCGGTTCCGGTGACGACGCTGATGCTGGGGGTGGGTACGACGTCGGTGGTGATGGTGGTCGGGGTCGGGACGACGGTAGTGGTGACGCTGGCGACGATGGTGCTGCCGTTCTCGTCGGTGGTGGTGACGGCCAGAACGGTGGTGACGGGACGAGGGACGGTGACGGTGACGGTGGGACGCAGGTCGTCAATGGCGGACTCCAAGGCGGCGTACTGGCTTGAGTAGGCGGAAGGGACGACGCTGGCGAACCAAGCCGGGGCCTCGGTGGCCTTGAGGGCCGAGAAGATGGCGTCCTTGGCGTCCTGGGTGACTCCGGCCGCGCTGGCGGCGGAGCCGACTGCGGAGGTCAGGGCCTCCCACTCCGGGGCGGGGATGTATGCCGAGATGAGAGCATCGGCAGCGGAGGTGAAGGCGGCGAGATCCGAGCTGGGCAAGCCTCGTTCGTTAGCTCCCGTGTCCATGTGGTGACCGGGGGCCGGGTGGGTGTGGGGGAAGGGGACGGGGACGGGCGACTTACACAGGGTCCCGGGGGCGGAGGCCGGTGGCGGAGACGAGGTTGGCGGCAAGGGCCAGGGAGAGGATGGCGGACTGCATTTTCGGAGAGGGTATATTCGTACTGGTTGTTTTGGGTATCACTGGATTGTTGGGAAAAGGACGAAGGTGGGGGGTTTATCACGCTGGCTGTAGCAAACAAGGCGAGTAACGACGACGGGATGAGAGAGAAGTGAGGGAAACAAGTCACATCAATGGGTCGGCTGCCCATCACTTAAATACCTAGCAAGTTATGGAAAGCTTGGTGATGCGGTCAAGCACAGAAATGACGCCGTACGCGGTCAAGCTGGGCCGGGTACGACCAGGCCAGGCCAGGACGAATTGGGCGGCATTGGCATGGCGACAGGCGGTTGTGGGAAGCGAGATGCAAGTTGTGAGGTGCGCGTTCGGGTTCTGTGAGGGGGGCAGATGTGTGGGAAAATCTTGGTGAAGGCCCCGGTCTTCCTTGGAAAGCGGAGGTTGGGTCGCGATGCTGCCCTTGCAGTTGCAGGCCTCGCAACTGGACCGACCAGCCCAGCCCAGCCCAGCCCAGAGCCGGGGGTGTGGGAGAGAGCAGAATGGCATCGGAGGGGGGAAAAGAAGAAGGAGAAAAAGCAGGGCAGAGAGCAGGCCAGGCCAAGCAGCGCGTTCCTGGCGTGACGTTGACTTTTGTTTTTTTTCCCGTGTGTGCTTGCGTGTATCATGTTGTTTCTGTCGAATCACAATGGCGAGGATGGCCTCGTACGAACACACAAGTTGTAAGACGTCCGTGACTGCATCGGACGGGTATTCGTACACGGGTGATGGCATTGTGGTGTTGGCTCACTCGAGTAGCGGGAGCGAGCAGGGGAAGTGATTGGCGCCAGGTTGCGTGTTTGCCGGCCAAGATCGTGAAATGGGTTGACGGGGCTCTGGGAGGTTGGGAACATTAACAAGGGTAGAAATTTGCGGCCGAGAGAAAGGAAGTTTCCGTACGGGATACATACGGACACGGAAACAGACACAGATGCGGGCTACACAAGCACCAATTCTTTGTGTATGTTTGTCCGACGACACGAGGACACGACGACAGTGGTTTTCGTACTTTGCGGAAATTTCCCCGAGGTGGCGGCATCGTACAAAATCCAGCGTCTTGGATGAGACTTGTGCTTAACAGCCATGTCGGCGAATGTTTGGTTTGGCGTCGTCTGCGACACTTAGGAGGAAGATGCGCGGTTTGGACCAACAGTGATGCTGTGATGCTGGCGTTGCGGTGTGGATGAATACCTACCTACCTACCTTAGGTCACAGGTAGGTAGGTAGGTATCGGTATCGCAGTATCCGTAAGGCGGTGGAGGGATGGGACGTGGAGGTGCACCTGGTTCCATGGAAGAAGGTTCAAGGTTGGCTGGCGTTGACGGCGGTAACAACCGGGACCCACCACCTGGATTACATCACCGGCTGGCTCGTGGCTCATGGCTCGTGGCCCGTGGTCCGTTGGCAATGGACGTGGATGGAATACGGCAGGCCGCCCTCACCGTTTTGCACGTTGATGCTAGGTTGATCCCGTCAACGGGCAACAGCCAAACATAACAGAGCCGAGCTCTATTCGTACCTTATTTCCTCGCGACCATGGATGGCTGCTTACACGTGACTGATGTTCTAGAAATCGAATTGAGAGACAGATGGTAAGGTCTAGGGTATGTGCATGTAGCGGCTAAGCCACACGACTCTTTGAGGGCGTTGAAAGTCAGATGACGCTATCTGGGCTGTTGGCGGTGACGATGGCTTCAAGGACCACCTCGGGCAAGTAAGGTACTGGACGGGACGGGACCCGACGGGACACTACGAACACCGCGCCACGCACCCAGCCTCACACGTTGGAAAACCGGGGGACGGGACCTGGAGGGGGGTGGAAATTACGTCACTAGATCTGGGGCTCAACCAAAGTGACACCTCGAGAGCAGGCTTCCCCTCCTTGTCGCGGGGCAAGTTCTCTTCCCTGCTTTCTCACTCGCCCTTAATGTATCCGTACCGTCGTCGCCCAGGTCGCTCGCTGTCCCTGTGTCTTCTGCCACACACCGACCGAACAGCATCGAACAACGGCTATTCAACTTGCAACTTATTGCCCGCCTAACTACCAACCTACCTTCCTTAAGGCACCTGATGACAAGTCTGACATGGCATACTCTTTTGCCCTTACTAGGTACATACGATACAATGATCAATTTCACACAAAGAAGGCTAGCTAATTTAGGACGTCAAGCTAAATATAGCGGGCCAGTTGCCCCGTCCGTAAGAGTACCTTAAGGTAACGCGGGAGTCTATGGTACGTTGCCTGGGTATATCGCATCAAAGAGAAACAAACCCCCGTGGAAACATGACTGAACGAACAGCTTGAAGCTTTTGCCCTCGCTGTATGGCATACAGTATTCGTAGACACCACCTTCCATTGTCAACGTGGCTGTGAAGAGCTCCAGCGACGGGCATACCGAATCATCCACCTGGGCGGAGCTGCGTACGCCTTAGCTACCTTAGCCTTGAAGTCGTTGGCCGTTGGATTGGTTAATGGCTTGCTTGGGGTGGTATGCCGTTGACGTTAGGCTCATTCCTGACCGACGGCGACGCGTGAGTGGCTGGACTGCCCGCCGTTATGATATCATTCTCTGGCTGCCTCTCCTCTCCTCCCCTCTTTCACAGTCATTCGTGCTTGGTCACAAGTTGCAGTTCGAGGTCGTGCAGAAGGGGTCGATGGCGCTCGCTGCACGCAGACGCAGACGCAGAGCACTGCCAGGCACATCGGGGGCTTCGTACCGTGCTGTGCCTGTCTACCACCCGACAACTACCTTGCCTTGATGTGTTCGAGTTTCAGCACAATGCAGGCGGGCTAGAGCATCACTTTGGATTTCTTCCACTTTCCCTGCCTTAAACGTTCCACCCAAGTTAGTGTCCCTCCTTCGCCGACATCTTGACAACTCCCGTCATCCCCGTCACGGAGACTCGGTACCTGGTACGGATATACGAATGCCTACACTGGACAGCCATTCACCTGTCGTCGCAAGCCACTAACATCCACTTACATGGTCACTCAGACAGTGTTTTGCTTTTGCGCGCCACCCTGCGCAGTACGGATACACAGCCTGACCAGCATCTAGTCTAGTCTAGATGATGCCCACCCAATCTGATCATAAACTCGAAAGACGAGAAGCATAGAAGCAAAAAATTAGGATTGACTATTTTTGGGCCTGGGCGTGGTAATGTCCATTTTACCTAGGTAGTTGTCAAAGGCCTAATGGAAAGACTTCCATTGGAAATAGATTGTGTCGTTTACCTTGGATGAGAGGAACTGACCTTCTGGAGAGAGGTCCAAGTAACTTTCTACTTACATACTGGTGGGGAAGTACTTTCCGAGCACCTACCTACCTTACCTGCCGCCATCACTGAACAGCGCAAAGCCGCATGTCGGCGGCGTCAGGTAAGGAAGGGAATGAAGGCTGACGGGAGCGACGGTGACCTGGATCCCGCACCCTCCGTGCTGCTGCGACTTGCGACGCTGAGTCCCGTCGTCCACAGGTTGTAGTGCGGATATCCATGCCATGTCTTTGGCCACCCAACCCAACCCTGCCAGTCCTGTCGTGTCGTGCCCTGCCCTGCCCACTCACTCTGTCGTTTCTGGCTGGCTGCTCTGCCTGAACTGTTCAGCGTTCCACGCCTGATTTGCCTTTCCTTCCCGTCTTGCTGGACCCTTGCCCGCCCACCCACCAACCTCTACCACCACCACTACCAGCCCTGGTCCCCCCGGCGTCTGCGGTCATCATTTCTTCCAGTTCCCCTCCTCCCTTCCCCTCTAGAACCTGCCTCTGCTTCTTTTTTACCCTCAACAATTCACAAACGCGCTACCAACAGTCCAAGCGGCGGCCTGCTACGCAACACGACGAATTCAAAACTTTCATCAGCACTGACTTGACATCCACAAGCGCTGCTGATCCAGCTTCCTTCCAACAAGAACATCCCACGCCTTACACAATCAAACTCGACAACCGCGCCCAAACAACCTCTCGACGAGCCTTCTTGGCTCCTATCACCTGGTATGAGTTACTACGACGACCAACCTCAGCGCACTCGTCGCTACGTGCGCGAGGAGCGTCGTGAGGAGAGGGTTGACCCTCGCTATGCCGAAGACCCCTACCTGAGGGTTTACGAATCTCGCCAACTGGTCCCCAGAGGCCGAGAGGATAGCGAGCTCTCCATCGAGGAGGTCCGCCGCGATTTCCCACCTCCAGGTTACCGCGACTCGAGGAGGACCCGCTCTGCAGAGCCCGGCTACTATGACGAATACCGGGGCTACGATGACCGGGACCGTTACTACGACCGCGAACGCGACTACGACCGCCGTGGCAAGAAGGCCGGCAGTCTCTACTACGAGGAAGAGAAGAGATCCCGCCAACGCGTTCTGAACCAACAAGAAAAGATTCTCGCTGCAGTTGCCGGTGCGGCCCTGGCATTTGGCGGAAAGGAGCTATACGATCGCAAGGAGGCCAAGGAGCATGGCGGTGATGTTGAGCGCAACTACCTGACATCTGCTGCTCTCGGTGCTGCCGGCGCACTCGCTGGTTACCAGGGTGCCGAGTTTTACAGCAAGCATAAGGAAAAGGACGAGAAGAACGCAACCTACGTTCTGCACCGCGGCCGCGATGGGAGAGTTACCGAATACTATTCCGACGAGGAGGGAGAGAAGGAAAAGAAGGGCTCCAAATCCTTCTTGGAGAATGCCTTGGCAGCCTCGGGACTCGGAGCCGCGGTCAAGGCCCTTACTGGCGCTGCTGGCGGCGGTCATCACGATGACAGGCGCAGTGACACCAGGAGTCGCAGGGGCAGTCCCGACTCACGAGGCACTGCTCGCTCCAGGTCTCGGGGCCCAGGCGGCGAGGCTGCGAACAAGATGCAGAAGGCAGCCATGGCTTCTCTGATTGCCGGAGCCACAGAGGCTTTCCGTGTCGCAAAAGAGCCTGGCAGCTGGAAGGGTGAGAAGACGAAGCGCATTCTCACAGCCGCTGCTGGTGCTGCCACCATCGATGCCGCCCACAGCGGCGAGAAGCAGAGCAAGCTGGGTCTGGCTGAATCCGTCATTGGTGGTCTCGTTGGAAATCGCGTGATCAACGGCTCCAAGCGAAACATTGAGGAGGACCGCAGGACTGGCCGAAGCAGGTCCCGATCCCGCGCTCGCTCGGACGGCGGCGGAGGCGGACCCGGTTTGGCCGCTCTGGCTACTGCCGGACTGGGCGCCTTTGGCGCAAAGAAGGCTATCGAGAATGTTCGTTCCCGCAGCCGAGGACCCAGTGCCGACTCTTACGACAGCCGGGCATCCAGTCGTAGTCGCGACGGCCGACACCAGAGAAGCCGAAGCCGCAGCGTTGTCGACTCGGCCCGGAAGAAGCTTGCCAAGATCGGTCTTGGCAGCGACCCTGACGACAGAGAAAGAGACAGAGCCCGGGATGACAGTCACTACGATGACCGAGGCTCCCGCCGTACCGTGAGCCGAAAGTACTCGGACGAATATGACGACGGTTACGACAGAGGCTATGGACGTGGCGGACGCGACGCATACGATGACGACCGCTCGTCTTACACCAGCCGCCGCCGGGACCGGTCCCGACGCAGAGGAGGAAAATCAGACGCGAGCTCTGATTCCGATCTTGGAGACTCGGATGACGATGAGAAGCGGGCGAAGAAGATGAGAGGTAAGCAAGTGATCACGACCGGCCTTGCGGCCGTTGCCACCATTCACGCTGCACATGGAGTCTATCAGAGTATGGAGAAACGCAATGCACGGCAAAAGGCTGTTAGGGAAGGCCGTCTGAGCCCCCAAGAGGCAAAGAAGCTCAAATCGAAAGCCATCTTGCAAGACGCTGCTTCTGTTGGAATTGCTGCCCTCGGTATCAAGGGTGCCTGGTCAGAGCTCAAGGAAGCAAAAGAGTTGACCCACGAATGCAAGCAATTCCAACAGGAGAAGGCAATCCGGCATCAGAAACGAATTGAAAGGCAGCGGAGGCTCAGGGGCGACGATGGCGGCCGAAGGAGTAGGGATGACGATTGGTACACTTCATCTTCTCCGCGAGCAGATCGGTACGACTACGGGCCCGTCTATCTCGACAGCAACCCGTACGCTGCCGGACCCTTGCCCGCGCCTCCTGTCGGTTATGACAGGAGGTGAGCGAGACTGAAGCAGTAATGCGGCATCTCACACCAATGTCGATCATCCAAACCCCGCCAGCTTTTGCCCATGATCTTTGTCGTGGGCAACTAGCCTCGACGCCTCAACGCCACCCAGCCACTTTACGCCCACCTACTCAGTATTATTACGACTTTTCACATTCTGTACATGTCTTCTCATAACGACCTTACGACATTTTCCCAACCAATCTACGTCAGGAAAGAGCACGGGGGGATCATTAAAGTGAATCAGGAGATGTAGAACTGGCGTTCCACAAAGACCTTTCACAAACAGCCACCTTGCATTGCGTTTACTCAGATAGATGGATTTCCCCTCCTCCCCTTTTGTCGCAGAATCTACACACGTTTTCTGTTGTACTACGAACCATAACTGATCATAATTGGACTGTGACAGACCGCCGCCGTTACTAATCGGCCGCCGCCACCAACAACTGCCAGACGTTCAAACGCTTTCTCATCGCCAGCCCCCGCTGACGACGGTCGTACCAACCGGAGCAAATCTGGCAACATGCGCCTCATACAAAAGCAAAAGGGCCCGCAAGACCGAGATCGAAAACCGATCGCCAGGGTCCGATTGGGGTCAGCTGGGCTGGTTGAGAATGTAGAGAGGTATGGCCGCCTTACGCCTGCGTTTGGTGAGGTCTCCCTGAACGAGGAGCGATCGAAACCCAACGGGAGGGGACCCCTGTTCCCGAGACAAGCCGGACATTTTTGCTAGCGCGGGACGGACAAGCGGCGGTGAGGAATGACGACTTTGGAAAGACTGGGGGGGGAAACGCGGGAGACGGAGTAGGGATATATGCGGGATGATGATATGACGGCAACGACGGCTTTTGGCTCACGGTTACTCGAGCCAGCGCGCAATCGTTTGAATGGGGCCGCGGGGCGGAGGGGGGGGGATTGATTCCTCCCTCAGGTTCGAACTACACTGACATGCGGTGTTTTTTTCTACCCCATTTCCTACCGTCTTTCATTAACTTGCTCTGTTTTTCTTTGTGTATCACCGGACAGGCCATTTGTGTTTTTGATGTAGACAGGCAGGGTATTTAGTTTCGGATTTAGCTATGAGACATGACTTGCGTCCCCCGATCCCCGAACAACTTTGTCCCGGTGCCCGTCCTCATACACGTCGATGCTCCCTGAACATCGATGGCTGGTAATCGGTCGGCTCCGAAACATCCCACACCCGCCCGCATCTTCCGGGAAGAGCGCGGTGCGGATAACGCGAGTGATTGCCTGATTCACAGGAGGCGTGGTCTGCCGCCGCTGCACGCCCATATGCCATATTGCGTGTTCTGTGCGCTCACCTTTGGCCCTGCTTGCTGGGCTGAACTGCATCGATGGTTGGCGGACCGGTAAGGGAGGGAGGGGTAGTCTAGACTTGTGCCTGTCCGCCTCGATGAGCTGTCGGTTCGTCTTCAGCTTATTACCGCAAGAAAGTTTGGCAACATGTGGGAGACTGGTGGAACGACCGGCCTCGTCCGCTGGGCCCGACACGTCTGACATAGATTACGAACAAGAAGGATTTCAGCCCCGGTACAGCAACGCAAAAGAAGACGAGCGCGCGCGCGGTGCGGCGGCCCCGTGGTGTGTCGTACGAATACATGGTGGCAGCGTAGCGTAAGGTAGCGGCTGAGAGATCCAGCCAGAAGAGCAATGACATCATTCTGCATGTGAGGGTCCTTGATCTCTCTACTCGCACACTCTTCTACCACTACCCGCGTGCCCCCTCCCAGAGCTGCAATGCTCATTGGTGGCGCATCGTCAGATGACTTGCGAGCAACATCTCAATGAAGCCTGAATTTGCCGTTGATCTGGTGGGCTACTGTACGTTATGCGTTCGGCTTTTCGGAATGCGGGAACACTATCCCCACCGATTCGAGCCTGAAGGATTGACAGGCGGGGATTCCCTTGGTTTAGTATGCGGCGTAGTTGAGATGAGACGGCGTTGTCCGAACCCTTCATGTGTACGGCAACTCAATTTGAACTTAATCTCGAAAGTAGTGTTGACAGTATTGCTAGATGCTGGTAATATAAATACAAACGACAGTATCTCGGGGGCCTCATGCCGTGGCGTCTCCTCCTTGTTGCTTCCAGGCCTGCGCCATGGCTAGCAGGTTCGACAGGTTCTGGGTCTGCTTGTCGTCTGCGGGGAAGACGTAGTCGATATACTCCTCGAAGCTGTCGTCCTCCAGGCGCCTTCTGCGCTTCGTCTTGCGAGGCATAAGCTTTTGTACCTTCTCTACATCCCCCTCGGCGCCGTGCGTCTTCTCGAACGACAGCCATGCGTTGAGCAGCGTGACAGTTTCTTCTTTGAGATCCTTCTCCCGCATGCTCTTGTGTGCGCGCTCGAAGACCTTGCGGGCCCTGACCTTGGCCTCGGCGCTGATTGGCGCCTCCTCGTCCGCCCCTTCCTCGTCTTCGGGGATGTTGAGCTCAAAGTGGGCATAGCTGATCCAGACCTTGACGTGGTCTGTCTTTTCGAGCAGACGTTCGTAGAGGTCTCTTGTCCTTTCGTACTCGCCTTCTTCTTCCTCAAAGTCGATGTACGCCTTCCATAGGAGTTCGGGCATGTCGAGAACTGGTTGACAGACTGCCAGCTCGAAAATGGCCCTGGTCCGGTCCAGGTCGTCCAGGCCACGCTCTAGCTCGGCGAATTTGATCCAAGTCTGGCAGTTGGCTGGGTTCCACTCAATGTGTTTCTCGTACAAGGTTCGGCACCGCAAGAACTCGAAGAGCTTGAGCTCCAGCTCAACGTATCCTCGGAACAGCTTGTCCTTGGGGCACATGCCGATGGCCTGGCCCAGGGTTTTGCGTGCTGATGTGAGCTCTCCCTGGCGGATCTCGAACTGCGCCTTGAGAAGCCAGATCTTGGCGAAGGTGAACTTTTTGTGAGGGATCAACTCCAAGCACACCTTGTAGATCTGCCGCGCCCTTTCGACATCTTCTGCCTGCAGCTCTTCGAAGATGGCGTAGTTGATCCAGAGATAGATGTATCGCCTCCAGAATCTCTTCTCCTGAGCCGGCGGGACCTGCGCAACAGCTCTCTCGTACACATCCCGCACCCTGTCAAGATCACCCGCGGTTTCCTCGAGTCTTGTGTAGTCGAACCATGTGTCGTAGTTCTTTGGGTTTTCCTTGACCTGGTTTTCGTAAAAGACACGCCGCTTTGACAGCACAACGTCCTCGACGCCGTCCCTATCTCCGAACTGCTTCTCGAATGTCGTGTAGGCCTTGTGAAGAAGCATAGACTTTGAACGAGGCAACCTGTCCAGGGCGTACTTGTAGATCGCTCTGGCCCTCTCATACTCCTTCATCTTCGCCTCGAAGCGAGCATAGCTGATGAAGAGCTTCTCGTCAACAAACTCGTCGCCCAACGCCTCGACGGCCATCCCGTACACTTCCCGCACCAGTTCACTGGTGCCGTACTCCTCTTCGAAACGGGCCCATTTGATCCAATTTCTCGGTTCTGGGTGGACCTGCGTGAACTTCTCAAAGATGTCCCTGGCTCTGTCGAACTCCCCATACCTCTTCTCCAACTTGATATAGGCGCTCCACGCAGCTTCATCAGGCTGCCACTGCATCCAACGATCGAATACGCTACGGGTCTTTGGGATCTCGCCGAGCATTTCCTCCATGTAGACATACTTATACCACAGCTTATCAACACGGGGGAGCCGGGCGACGGCCCGATCAAAGAGGTTCCGCGCATGTGCGATATCACCGTTCTTCACTGAAAAATATTAGTTTCATGCGTACAAGGACGAGATGGAAAATTGGGTCCAACGACTTACTCTCCGATTCGCAATACCTGATCCAGAGCGGGACTGAATTGGGGTGCACGTCGAGTGCTCGCTCGAAAATGGATCGCGCGCGTCTGAACTCTTTCTGCTCGAGCTCCCATGCAGCATATCGCATCCAATTGTTGAGATTGACTCGGTTCCGCCGCACGTAGTCCTCGAACTCTCTTCGCTTTCGGCCTTGGAACTCGTGCAATTCCTCCAAATCGGCGAAGCGTTGAGTAGGTGCTTGCAAAGCAACCTCTTGACGGTCGACGGCTTCACGAAGAAGCTGCTCCGCGGAGATCTGAACAGGCGCGGCGGCCTTGTTTTTGACCTTTGGCGGTCCCCGTGATGCCTCCATGATTGCGGCTTATTTCAAAGTCGGGGCTTCCGGTGTGGTATCTCGAGTGATCGGCTGTATCGGTTCAATTTGCAAGACAATTCGGAACGGTTTGGATGGGTAATCGCAGGCGACGACGAGGACGCGTCCAAATTTGCGTTTCGTAGCGAAGTTCGGAGGTATCTGACGGCTGGATGTTGACACTAATGTTTAGGTCGCTCCGAGGCTGAACCAAGGCCAAGGCGTCCGGGCCCGTCAGAAAAAGCACTCTTATCGGAATCTCAGCCACGCTTATCAGCGTGGCTGTGGCTGCACTTTCTCAGCTGCCATCCGCCACACCTCTACCTCACCGTACCTATGCGGTGAGATCCGATATTACAGTTTAGTATTGATAAATTGGTGCCTTGTTTATATGAGCAGTAGGTGGTATGGATTTTAGTTTTTTTTTTCTGCCTCAAACTTTGGATTGAGGCTAGTGCGGCCAATCCAGTCGCTACTGTAATTACCTTAGTAGGAACCGTACCTACCTGATCCACGGTTGACAGGACGGGAGCTGAGGTATGAGGTGCATGCATGTGGCTTGACCTTGAGGGTTAGTGGGTCGGGTCCTTCCATTGCGCAGTACTAGGTCAGGTAGGTAAGCTAGGTAGGTAGTCACCTCCTAAACCTTGGCGCGCTTCGCGACCTCGTAAGGCTTTCTGGAGACAACTTTTTCTTCGTCAACCTCCCACCACTGATTGCGCCCATCCGTGAGTGTACGAGACATCCAACCAACAAGTACGACAGGATAATACAAAAACGCAGACCATCATGGCTACCCTCGCAGAGGAGCTTTTCAACGACTTTGCGGACTCTGGCTCGGAAGCAGAGGAAACCCAGCAAGATGAGCATGATCCCCTCGGCCTCGACGTTGCGCCTCAGGCGAACAATCCTAACCCATCGAACGACATGGACCTGGACGGGGACGACGAGGAAGCCGATGAAGAGGACGAGGAGATGGGAGGTGTCAATAAAAACACAGTTGAGGCCGTCGAAGACGCCGAGGATGCCAAAGCAAAGGTCGAGAAGATGCAGCTAGGCGGCGTGAGTGACGTTCGCAGCGTCGCCGGCCTCATGCAGACCCTGCAACCCGTATTAGAGGTTAGTGAACAGTCCCTGTGCACACCCGGCTCTGTTGAAGCAGTGTTTACATCGTCCCTTGGGAGAATTAGCCCTGACTTCGTAACTCGAACGCTACAGAAAATCGCACACTACCAGTCGCAACCCACGCCGACGCAGTTGATCGGAAACATCGAAGACCATCCCGAATACCACCTTTTGACGCAGTCGAATAGTCTCTCTACCCTCATCGACAGCGAGATTGTTCTTGTTCACAAGTTCATCAGGGATCACTACTCGATACGATTTCCCGAGCTCGAGACACTCATCACCAACCCACTGGAATACGCGAAGGTAGTCTCCATCTTGGGCAACGGGCCCCTCGACCCCGAAAATATCAAGACGCTGCAGCATTCTACGGACAACCCTCTCAAGGCAACGCTTCGATCGGTGCTCGACGGTCCATCCGTGATGATTGTGACTGTGGAAGCCACGAGGACCAAGGGCCGTGAGATGTCAACAGACGAACTGCTGCGAGTTCGGAGAGCATGCGACATGGTTCTTTCCTTAGATAAGGCGAAGAAGACCCTCACCGAATACGTTCAGTCGCGTATGAACCTATTCGCGCCGAACTTGACTGCCATGATCGGCTCCCTGACGGCTGCGCAGCTGCTGAACGCCGCTGGAGGACTTACTGGCCTGTCCAAGACGCCCGCGTGCAACATTGCAGCTTGGGGATCAAAGAAAGGGGCTGGTGCGGCGGGATTGGCCACGAATATCGGTGTCCGCCAACAAGGATTCCTCTACCACTCTCCAATCATCCAGGGCATTCCGAACGACCTCAAGAGGCAAGCTATGCGGATTGTCGCAGCCAAGCTGTTGCTTGCAGCTCGTGTGGACCGTGTTCATTCCAGTCCGGATGGCTCAACAGGCGAAGAGCTCAAGGGACATTGTCTCGATCGTCTCGAGAAACTCACGGAGCCTCCTCCGAACAAGGGACCGCGAGCCCTTCCAGTCCCTGACGACAAACCCTCGCGCAAGCGTGGTGGAAGAAGAGCTAGAAAGGCCAAGGAAGCTACGGCCATGACGGAGCTGCGCAAGGCACAGAACAGGATGGCGTTTGGCAAGGAGGAGAGAGAAGTTGGATACGGCACAGGAGAGGGCACCGCAGGCCTGGGCATGATCGGCCAAGCCAATGACGGCAGAATTCGCAACTTGCAAATCGACCAGCGGACGAGAGCGAAGCTGAGTGCCAAGAACAAGGGCTGGGGTGGCGCGACTCCCATGAACGGGGCGGCATCGTCCCTTCGCGGGTTTGGGCAGACAAACTCCAACATTGACCTTCGTGGCAAGGGTCTGAGGACGTCAGGTGTCGGCACGACGCTGGGAGCGCCCACGGGCACGGCGTCGTCGTTGGCCTTCACACCTGTGCAGGGTCTGGAGCTTGTCGACCCCAAGGTCCAGGCTGAACTCAGTCGTAAGCGGAAGGCGGAAGAGGACCGGTGGTTCAAGGGAGGAACCTTTACACAGGTTGGCGGCTCATCCAATGGAGTCTTCAAGAAACCCGATCTACCTCCCAACAAAAGGGTAGATACTGGGGAAGGCAAGATGGGCCCTCCACCTCCGCGGAGCGGCTGAAGATTTGACGGTCGGGCCGCGATCTCGTGGATGAAAAAGCCAATCATGACCAAAGTTCACATAGCATATCTCTCAGCCGAAAAACGGACCCGGGGCAGTTGGAGGTGCGTGGTAGGAACGGGGTCCGCGGCAGTCAAGGCGCGGCCGGCATAGTCGGCGTGCGGCGTTCGGGAAGGCTTTGTTTTTTTTTCCCCCTTACCGAAGTAAAGGGCGCTCTTCCTGAAGAAAATGGAACGAGGGCACTCATCATCGTGCAGGGAGAGAGTTTCCCTGTCCGCGATGTATCGGCGGTCCCATTTCGGCATCTACTCCGAGTTTGATATGTAAAATTGATTGCAACACTGCTGGCCCAACATTGCCATCAAACGTGATCTAATGTCTCCTCTGGGCGGGCTCAGTAAGCCGCCGCCTACGTATTGACGTCCATGTGTCGTCGTGATGTATGCCTCTGTGCGGTTATGGCATTCTAGCCCCCCTCGTTGGAAGCTTCTCTTCCCCCACGTTTGTCTCGTTCGATTACTTCAGTGGTCTAGGGCGTCAATGCTCGTCGTGCCTCAGCGTTTACTACGCAGTACCATAGAACCGTAGTGAGGAATTGAGAAGAAAACTAAGGAACGTCGGCAGGTCGAGAGTTTAATGAGATCTGGGAGGACCGTGGTGGCCTTTTTTTACTCTTGGTCCATTCCTTATGTGGTTGGGACTAACGAGAGAGGAAGAAGACGTGCTTTGTGACTCTGACGGAGGGGGCAAGGCGGGGGTAGGTATACTACCGTAAGGTATGGTCCGCGCAGCAAGGCCCAGAGTTCAGCTATTTTGGTGCGTGGAAGCTTGCCTCCCTCCCTCTCCCATGGCGATTTAGCATAGTAAAGCAGTAGTCCCCCTTTCCCGCGCGTCCTTGTGTGAAATGGAAGCCAATTGGGGCCCGAACAACGCACGAGGCGACGTTTAAACTTGCTGAGCGGGGAAAAGGAGGGGGCGTTGGAGTAACTGGAAGAAGGAGCATCCAGATCAAGGGGAACCCCCCAATGAGGAAGTCGAAGTAAAAAAAAAAAAAAAAAAGCCCAAAAAAAAGGTCGGGCTCAGATTCAAATACCCATCATCAAAGGTGCACTGGGCGCCATCTCTTGTCTGTTGTAGATGCGTTACTGTGTAGTAGTAAGGTAGAGGGAGAAGGGCTCCCAAGATCCGGGGTAGCCATGAAACAGGACCTCGAGCCCTTCAACCTGCTAACGGATACCTGCATCGTCCTCTCGAGGGTGTGTGTCGGTCGGATTGCGCATTCGATTGGCCCCGAGGACTCCGGATTGGATTCCGGGCGGCGGCCATCACGTCAATTAAACGTTGCAAATCACCAAAGCATACAGAGTACACCACGCAAGGTTTGTCGAGACCGAGACTATGGGATAGACATGTGCCACCGCAGAAGATGGACGTTGTACGGATATGCGTACTGGAATAGGTACGTGGTACGGTGGTCAGTGTATGTAGATGTTCATTAGCAGATGTTCTCCGGAACGTCGAGGCTTCCGGAAGATCAGGGTCGTTCTTTTTTCCTCTTCTCTTTTTTTTTTTTTTTCCTTCCTTTCCCCTTCCTCTCCCTCTTCAATTTTCGGGGAACTCAACGGGGCCCCGTTGGCCCGGCATCTTACAGATGTTTCGGCGAATTTCGTCCGCGGTAAAACGAGCAGCGGGGGCTGGGGTGCGTTCCTGTGGCACCATGACGTACGAGCTAGGTGCCGGGAGACGGAGTTTGCGATGCCTTGAAAATGTTCCATTGATAGGAAACGAGGAGTGGAGATTGAGGAGAGTGCAGGTCGAGAGTGAGAGGGCCGCATTTGAGGTGGTACGGTACCTTAGGTACGAATACTGGGTACTCAGGTCCGTAGTCAGCGCTCTGTCCCCCGCCCCTCGCCGGTAAGAAAGATGTCAATGGAAGCCCGGCTGAAATACCGCAGTATTGGGAGGAAGGGGGTGGGAGCATTGGAGGACCCTGAGTGAGGGAGGCCAGGCACAGGCACAGGCACAGGCATCCATCCATATGCAATTGCGACCCCAACCCAACAACAGCTGACAATGGACGACAATGGATGGATGGATGGATGGCAATTCGGTGTGGCTTGTCTCATGGTCCTCTCGACGCGTTTTCGACGGAGCGTCTTCTGTTGCAGCAAAATCCAAAATGCCATGCTCTGGTGGCGGAAAGCAGTCAACCGCGTAGTAGCTCCGAGATTTGACTTTGTGGCTGCAGCTCCTACCCATGCTGGCGAGAAGGTCCAGAACTTCAGGGACCAAAAGATCGTCCTGATGACCGCAGGGGATGTCCCCGTTGATGGGAGGACCTTTGCGAAGGAGGAGGAGGACTGACCGAGGAGGGAGGGGGTGCGATTCGTGAACGCGCGAAAAGCCATGGCCATGACGGCCGCAGGGGACCTTGTCACTCAAAGCAGGGCAGTTTTTCGGAAAAAGTACCTCAGTACCTTCGAATCCGGACGGAATAGGACTCGACTGGACCTGGACTCGGCAAAGCGATTGGTCGTCGTCGTCGTCGGACTCGACGCCGATGAGGTCGTGTATACGTAGTACAGCAGACTACCTTATGGTAATCATCACATATGTATTCGTACTTCGTACCTCTCCGAGCTACATAGTAGCTATTTTTCATGCGCTTCGGGATCAGGGGTAGAGGAACCGGAGATATTGACTGCCTACATCGGCAGTCAGTGGACGACCACAGAACATACTCCGTACGGATGGATGCTTAAGAGCGTTTGACAAACCCAAGGCTTGTCGAAGGTGACCGACACATGGAGGCGGAAGCGGGCGCAATCCTGTCTACCGTCACTTCAGACACAGGGGAACAATACCGCTGAGCAGACCTGGAGGGAGACGGACTGTGAAAAACAACTTGCGTGTGGCCTGTCGTACGGAGTACCGACTACTTCCACTTTTTGGGGCCGGGGAAGACGTAGGGATGTGTGTACAATGACGTGAGAGTGATGTTACCGCAAATTGGCCCAGCCAGCCAGTCTCCAGCACCGAGTGCTCCGTACAGAATACCTGCCAAGACACTCGGCCGACCCTCCAGGGCCACGCGTGGCGGGGTGATGAAGGGACGATATCAAAGCAGGGGATCGCCGGTATTGGCCGTTTTCGCAACGGTGGTGCATGCATGCTCTGCCGATGGATAAAATACAGATACAAAACTGTTGGCATCTGTGCCACGCACGGGAGGAAGAGGAAAGCGAAAACAGCGCCGAAAAAGCAACTTCAGAGGATGTAGCGGGCGAAAGGACGAGTATGAGGTGAGCTGAGCTGAGCTGAGCTGCGCTGAGGGAACCGATGGAGCGGGGTTTGAGACGGACGACCAAGCTTGAGAAGAACGGTTTCAAAACCTTTCTTTGTACGGAGTGCGGCCAGTCATGTCACCCAGTCAGGTCAGATCATGCATGACAATCAGGCAGTCATGATGTCCAACTCGCGACTCGATATCAGTCAACTTCGCTGCCACCCGGTGTTAAGTGCTTGTTAGACGGTGGGAAATATTGCGGTATACCTCGCTGACACTTTAACCCACAACAGCAGGTCAGGCACAGCGCGGCTGGGTACGAATGGCGAGGGCCTTGGGAAGTGCTGTGATGCGGTTTGCCAATGATGAAGCTCCATCTTGAGGACCACCTTCACAGTTTGCAGGTGGAGCAAGACTGAGTTGCCGACTCGTCCAGGCCTTGCCAAGGTGTACCGATGTATCCGTGACCACGCAATTTGGGGGTAAGGATGCCTTGAGTATGTCGTTTCGGTGCCTGTGGTTTTGCGGAGTTGCTTGTCAGAACGGCGGGAGCAGGCGGGGACGTCTTTTTTTCTTTTCTTCTTTTTTTCCCGTCCCCTCTCTTCCCCTCTCTCGCTCTCAGTATCGTCTTTAATGCATAGTAGGGGACCGGAAGATACGCAGGGAAATGACATAGCTACGTCAGCGGGAACACCGGGGCAGCTGACCAGGGCCCAGGGCCCAGAGCAGCCCCGATCCGAGCGGTGGGATATACTGAATCGAATTGGGCAACAGACGGGGATGAAAGACGGGGATGAAGAACGGGGACGAGGAACGGAGGAACGGGGATGGACGGGAATTGCGCCCAAGAAGATTAAGGTGTTGGTCGCGGCGGCGGTGCCGACGTGGAAGTACAAGAGACGCGCGGACGGCGAGGGAGAGGAGTCTACCTTGGATAGAAAAAGGGCAGATAAGGATAAGGTATGTTGGCGCCGGGGTACCTCAAGGCTATGATGTGGACAGACAGATAGATTCCTTGATTATCTTGAATCAAGATTTCCAAGTCGAAGGCTCGGAGGAAGCGAATACCAAGGCGCCGGCCGGACCAGGCACTCCGGACAGATGTAGACGCGTACCTGTCAATCTTGATCGGTGATCAGTTGTGATCAGGCGGGAAATTTCTGCGCCAGGTGCGACGTTGTCTCCAGTCTGCAGGGTCTGAGAAAAGGTACTGATGGTGCTGACGAGGTGGGTGGTTGACAACGAGAAACCCTGATTCCATACCACATACATTCGGAGGGTCGTGATCGTCGATCTGATGGAGGGGAGCACTACACAGTACATGGCAGAAAACACGGTCGATGGCGGTTGCGATGGCCGATAGGGACGGGAAGTCGACGGGGGGGGGGGGGGGGGGGGGTGGGGGGCACATGTGTGGTGTGGAGTCGGGGGAGGGGAATGGGGAAATGGGGTGGCCCCCCCCCCCCCCCCCCCCCCCCCCCCCCCCCCCCCCCCCCCCCCCCCCCCCCCCCCCCCCCCGCGCCCCACAAGTATGATGTGAAGACGTGGAATGGGAATGTCGAAATGGGGTATCCCCAGCAGAGACACATTACTGGAATTGGAGACGCGGGCAGCGGCAGCGGCAACGGCAAGGCGAACATCAGCATGAGAATCTGCATCGGCATCACCTACCTACTTTTCCTCATGCAGATGCGCGAGTTACCTACCTTACCTT